CTGCTTAACCTTTTTTCTGTTCTTCAAGCAGCTTATTCTCATTCTCTTCTCACCCTAAGGCTTGTTTTTTCATTTTGGATTTTGAAATCAGCAGTGTTTCATGGTTGAGTTCATGGATATGAACCTTGTGACTGAACACAGGGGAGAAAGAGGAAGTGGCTAGACTGCTCTGCCCCCACCACATGTGAGCCAGTCTGACATGTCACAGGCAGCACTGCCCCCTACCAGAGAATCTGTGCCAGTTAGGGCAGAGACATGTACACTTGCAAGCACCCTGAAACAGTAAGGACTTGGTTGACGATAAGGGGAAGGCGCCTCCTACACCATGGTGTACCTGGGAACCATACTGACGCATTGTTGTGGCCCAGGGTCCGGTGTGTGCCACCTACTCGTCCATCTACAGCAGCAACCTGATTTTCCTTTAGTGGAATTCAGCAAAGACACCCACACACTCTCAAAATCAAATTAGTGAGGCCCTCTGTTTAAGGTCTTGTTCGGAAGTATGACACCACAGCGTCATAAGCCATTATACTGGGGCATGGGTTTGGAAATTATTGGTCGACGTATGAGCACAACCTACTGTTCCACCACTGCCACTGACGGCAGCACCCTGGTCTCCACCCCAGTACTGCCCGGGTCTGGCACTGTTTCACTTCAGTTCAACAAATCAGAAGTGCCCCATGAAGGTTCATGTAAACATGGATTAAAATATGAATTGCTATGATTTCACCAACTTTTCATGGTGAAAAAAGGTTTGAAGCCCATTGATGTTATAGCTGATAATGCTCCCAGCTCATCCATCTGACCTGTTTTCCTGGACCTGTGGGTCTTCAGCTTTTCGACTGTGTGATGGTTTTGAATGCCTCTTGCCTGTTTTTCAGGCCCTCTCCCTTGTAGCAAGGTATGTCACTTACCGCTCATGGATGTGCTGTAGGTATAGTGTAAATGGGGAACTTGGCTGCTGCGTTGCTTTCCCTTGTTGTGTGAATTTCTAATTTCTCTAATTCTTTTCTCGGATTCAACATCTAAACGCTTGCCAAAGCTGCCCTTAAACCCAGTTGATTTCTGTGAGTTAGTGGGATAGAAAAATAAGACCCAGATGAACTTGTGCAGCATTCCTGCATTTAACTTTTGGAATCATGACAGAACACCAATAAACATATCCGGTAACCAAATTACCAATCAATTACCCAGCATGATTTAAATAAATTAATCTTGTTTGTGTGGAAGTATCAATTAGCGAGAAGTGTCTGAAGGGGCATAAAGTACTCAGTGTGGAATCGATAAGAAACTAATCTGCATTGTCTCGAACCTTAAGGCGTTCTGGAAATGAAAAACATGGCATATTTACCAGTTCAACACTTTCAGTTTTTAATCCATTACAAAATAAACTGTACTGGTGTGGAAAACAATCTCAGAACAGTCAATCATTCCATTTCACAATAAAGAAGACATCTTCATCTTTATTTACTCTATGAATAGGTGCAATTTTCAATAAAATTCATCTTGTGTTGTAATCTTGCATCTTTGCTTTTAATCTGACAGTGGGTGGAAAACCACAGTACTTTTTTGTGATACTATGGTGTTGGGAATGTTTTTACTGGCTCTTAGCTTAAGGTGCACTGAGATTTTGAATTGCAATTTCGAAGTTGTATTTGCAATTTTTTGTTGTTCTATAATTGCGGTTGCAAAGGAATTTCTGTCTCGGTAAAACATTCTCAGTTTTAAAATCTTTATAAAATATGCACATAAATTATAAAATACATTCTGCTAGGAAGTGAACAGAGCTTGTAGAGTTTTTGCAGAGCTGTTTTGTTCTTCAACTGTTCTTGCTGTTTTTATTTCTGTTGGTGACTGTTCTTGATGGTCTTTAGAAAACCGTCCTGTCTATTCATCTGGACATAGTCTTGGAGAAGGAGAATCACAATCTTAATTCTGAAGCAATGCAAGAATGTGGGGGGAATTAACCCCACCCAAGACCCCTCGCGTCTGGGAAAAATTCATCGATATGAGGGAAGCTGATGGTGTGCTACTGCTTGCCAGTTTCATCCGTGGTCCTGTTTCCTGTCTGTTCTCTCCTGGGCTTTCCCCGGGTCTCTCCAGGGGGGAAGAAAACGCAGTCCCAGACAGGACTTTTGTTTGGAATCTTCTAGCTAAAATTCCACTGCCATTTGCCATTGCTTCAGATTCACACTGCTCCCTTTAGGACTCCACCGGAACTAATGCAATCTGTCATTAATCTGTACCAACTGGGGCGCGCTGCTCGCAGGGATTCAGTCTGACATTTCGCTGTTGCTGCACAGATAACCACTCTCAGTGGTCGGGGGTTAAGCACGTCACGTGTCCCATATTTCTATATATATGTTTGTGTGCAAATGTAGATCTCGGTGCTTCTGTCGTTCTGATTTATGTATGCACCATCAAACAGCTGTAACAAATAATCCTGCAGAATGCTAGTTGTATTGACCACTTCAATCTGGAGCGAGGGCAGTGGCTTAAAATGGGGGAGAAAGAGAAGGAATGCAGTGACAAATGTTAAGATGGGTGACACAGTGGGGTGAGCTAATCCCGTAAAACTCTGTGGTCCCGTGGGTGACCATTAATAATAGCGCTTAAGTCCTTTGTGTTAATTCAGAGAAGTTGACTGAAAAGGTTGTATGTATTCAAAGATGAGATGACGATCCCAAGCTCCCCAGGATGACCCTTAGGTTTTGAAATTTTCTGGGTAAGACCAGTGTCCCAAATACATTTGTTTACCCCACAACCTTTTTTTCGCCTCTGTGTAATCGATGATGAACATTGAAATGTTCCCTTGAAATTTGAGATGTTTTCCTGCGTGCCCAGATTGGCAAATTCGTCTTTTTTTTTTGGTTCTACCCCTTTCCTTTATATAGATTCAGAAGGCTAAAAGGCAGAGTTTAAAATGGAGTCGGATGTTGAAATTTATGGTTGTCAGCTGAGTAGCAGCTATTTAGGGAGAATCTTATGTACAGCAGTTGCTTCACATGATCTTGTGACTGAGAATTAATTGCACAGAATTTTAGAGATCTGGACACCATGCAGTGATTGTAGTGGTTTTTATATATCTTTTATCTTAATTGCGCCGTTTAATTAATTTGATTTGTTTGATACACGCTGTAAAATATTTTTAGAGGTCCATTAAACTAGTTCATACTGCGGACAACCACAGCAGAAGAATATCGCATTTGCAGGTCACAGTAAATTGTAACTCATATTTAGGTAAGATGCAAAATTTGAGGCCTGAGTGAGTCACATCTTCAGTGCTTATCTCTAGATGTACTTGGCTACAGTTACTTGCATTATAATTTACTGAACTAATAGTTCAATTAGTAGATAGGTGTACTATCTGCTTAATTAAGTAACATTAACATACAGTATATACTGCCAAGTATCTTGCATGTGTTTCACTGGAAAATATTTAAGAAAATGGGTTTCGTGAATTTTGTCATAGCCTAGCAGGGTCCCAGAAAACACTGAGTCATGCGTCTCTCCTGCTGTTGGGGCCGTTACCAAATTGTAAGTAGGCTGACACCTCACCCAATAAACATTAAATTATGGAGGAGAAACGTGATAATATACCACATCATTATTATGGTTAGATGCCTTGTGCCAACATACAGGAAGGACTTGAAGACTTGTATTATGCATTAGAATGAGAAAGCTTAGATCCCAGCAGTACAGAGCCCCATGTTTAAATGTCCAAAATGATGCAATTTCACACTTCAGCAGTCCACCGTTATTGAGTGAACTGGAGAAGTGTTTTTTAGTTGTTGCAAGATTTGTAACTTGTTTTGATTATGCCATACATATAGCTCATATCGTAGGAGAAAGGAACAAAAGTTAAAAAATAGTGTTTAGGCTGGTTAAAGAGCTCAAAATAGCCATGTCTGGAACATAGCACCTAGCCTGCTAAGTTAGAGGCTTCTCCGCAAGAGGCAGGTCCTATTTAAACTAATCATATCTCAGCCATGCTTGTAGTTGCTCTGGAATTTAGTTCTTGGTGGTTGGAATAAGGCATATTTTAAATTACTGTTTTTAATTGAAATGTGAGTGAAGTTTGCATAATGTTAATAACATAATTTTACAAATACAAGGTCCGTTAAGCCAAAAGAACGCATTTTTAGTGATGCTATACAAAATTGGGTTGTGAAAGTGAAAATCTTCCTGTTTTCTCGGACCGTATCAAGATATTTGTAGGTACTGCAGAACTCATATGCTGGGTAGGTAAAAGGAATGGATGCAGGAAGCTTGTGGAAATTGATGCACACTGCTCCTCTATAGGTAAAATCACAGAATTTAGTATTCAGTGCTATTCCTAACTTGCACAAAAATCTGAAACACTAATAACCATAAAAACCAAAAGAGAAAGCCCAGTGTGTCTTCAAAAGTTAGCCTTGAAAGACTGTCCACAAATAGTTATGTGTTCAGTGCTTATTGTAGTTGTATCATTCATTGGCCACAACTGAGGTCTTGACAGAATTTAATAGAGGATTTAATTACATTTTATAGACTCTGTTAGAATCAGAAGTTGACAATATGCTGACAACAGCCTGATATGCAAGTGTTTTACCAAGAATGTAATGCCTAAAATTTGTTTCTTCCTCCATTTATGAAAAACTTAAAGCCTGTTCAACTAACATTTATTGGAACAAAAATAATAGAGGAAAGGTGTTTGACAGATGAATTTGGATAGGAGAATTCAGAAGTAGTATTTCTCCTTTCACTTCAGGCTGATCAGACGCATATTCAAATTTCAAATGAGGGAAATAAAAAGGGAGCATTTTGTACAGAATTTACAATGTTGAACTGTATGGGGAAGGGGGAATTTTAGTTTGGTTTGTAGATTTCACTCCAGGTATTGACAGTATTGTGTGGCAAGACTCTTTCTGACTCCATAAATACCTATTCAGTTTTGTGTTTCAAATCTGTTTTTATTATGACTCTTCATGTGGTCTTCTTCACTGTCTTGTTCTTTACAGACCTAGGCTGCAAGCACAAAGGAAATTCGCGCAGTCTCAGCCCAACTCGCCCAGCACAACCCCTGTCAAGGTTGTGGAGCCACCGTTACGCCCTCCAGCATCTCAGATCACTGACCTCTCCAAGCGCAAGCCCAAGACTGAGGACTTTCTGACCTTTCTCTGTCTCCGAGGTAGGACTTTGCAGGAAAGACCTGCTGAGTGCTGTTTGTCTGTTGCTATACAGTGATTATTATGTCTACTGTATTTTGTATAGTTCTATAATACTGTTCTAGTTATTAGAACAATGCCAAACTTTGAGTTAGATTTGTATAGTATGATGCCAGGTAGGGTGTGCGTGTGAGGGGTGTGTCATTTTAGATACGTTTTGCATTTTGAATAAACAAAGGTTTGTTCCACGCTGGAAAGAGAAGAAAAGAAACAATGTTTTGGTGTGCACAACCGTAGAAGGCTCCACAGCCGAAACATTGTTTCTTTTCTTCTTTCTTCAGCGTGGAATAAACCTTTACTTGCGGCCTATGCGTGCTGATATAGCACCCTACGTGAACTACATTTTGATTTATGTTTGGATTCATTTACTGTTAAGGGATATCTGATTTTGAGCAGATTTGTCAGTTATAAAAAATGGGGAAAAAATGAAATATGCACTTCAAGAATCCTAAATCGCAGCACATTTAGTTTTGAATAAACTTATCTGTTAGATACAGCAAATGAGAGAATTGATCTGGGAGGTACGAGTAGAATTTCCTCTACTTGGTCTGTTGCTTCCTGGCTCATCTACTGTGGAGAAGAGGTGGTAAGGGCTGCTACACATCCACTGGATTCAGCGAAACTGAATAGACTTACTGAAACTCTGAGGGTATACAGTACTTTCATTGTTTAGCCTGAAATCTGCCAGAAGAGTCTGAAGAATTAGGACTTAATTATGCTTTTAAAAAGAAACGTTATTGTCCTTGCCATGTTTGTTCAGCTGGTGGAATTGTTTAAACTAAATCACAAGGGACAGAGAGGCCGGTCTCAGGTCAATTAACCAATATCAACTTATAAATAAAGCCATACTTGCTGATCACACTGCAAGGGCTAGTAAACTATAACTGCTGATGTACTATAATGTACAGAAACGCTTGTTTAGAGCAGTGTTGCAAGTAAAATAAGTTCCAGGCCCTGGTTGCCAGCCCTATCGCTGGGTTCTTACAAACCACTGTTTAATTTTAGACAATGATTTTATGATGTTTTTTGAGTTGAGGGAAGCTGCACAGGATGTAAAGAGAGACAAGCCTTCTTTTATCCTCATTTTAAGTACTGTTGTAAATTATTGGTGTTCTCTGAAAAAGATCACCCCGGGATTTGATCAAGCAAACTTCTGCATAGCTTCTATCGGTGGCCAGATTGTTGACAATTTCTTATCACCTTTAATAGTCTTAATACGATCATCATCACGCACAGGGTCTGAGTCCAGAGCTCTCACAGAAGCACAGATTCTGAGTAAAAGCAGTCCTCAGAGAGTCTGCTTTATGATCGGGTAACAATATAAATGGGTTTTCATCTGTTCTCCAGATACTGCCTCTTTAAAAAAAAATAGTGACTTTTGTTTAACTAGAAATCAGTTATCACATGGAAACTGAGTTTAAACACAGGTTCAATATTCTGATAAACACTGTACTTGTTTATCTCAATCCCTGTAGATCGAGAGACAGAAGTAAAGTTTTATTTACGGGTGGGAAAGGCATTGTTTTTATCAGATTTATTTTTTTATTTGCAGTCAGAATGTCCTGAACATGCCATAAATCAGTTAAGATATGCTTGCTGAGCATTTCCTCACAAAACAATTTATGGACCTGAGGTTACAGGAAATGTTCACATGTAATGTTTTCCCAAATTGTGACTGTTTGGTGAACGGTTTTAGGGAGCTGTAGGCGACAGTATGGACGTGTTACTCCTGCAGTTTGAAAGCCGTTTCCCTTATTATTAAGGAACAGCAGAGCCCTTGTGTAAGTTCACTTTACAAGCAGGCAAGGCTCCTGAGAGGCAGTCTGCATGTGATGTCTTCTGGTGCTCAAAATGATGCAGGCAGCACAGTGTTACACGTGTGTACACATACACATGAGCACAAACAATGGTGAATCTGTGGTGATAGCCGAAAAAAGTCTCGGCTTTGGAGGAAAAAAAAACACTTTTTAATTTGCTTTTCCAGAGACATAGATCACATGTCCTTTTTTTTTTACTTTGCAAATAATCACAAGGGAACAAGATGGCACACAAAAGCCTAGAAAGTTGAAAGAAAGATGGCTGTTATATAGTCACAAACCTAATATTTTCTATGAACAATGACAGGCAGTCTTTCACTTTCACCATTTAAAAAACCTATTTGATTTAGGCATGGGCTTGTGTATTTGCTGTGTATACTTACTTTTTCCCTGGGTCTTTTGAAACATGCGGTTTATAACATTTGTTGTACCACTTCTGTACTATAGCATAGGATGGATTACAGAACTGGGCCAGGGTTGCTCCCTTTTTTTTTATAAAACCTCAAGCCTAATTATACTTAGAAATAAAAACAGCTCATTTTCCAAATTGTGATAAAAGACTCAGTCCCTTAAGGAGCTATTGTTTGAATGTTCTTTCTTGTGGTTTGTTTCATTCTCCTGATGTTGAAGGCTGTGGAATATAAACTCCACTCAACTAACCTCCATTCTATCATCTGAGCACCAGAATTATTTATAGATAATGTCCCCCAACGGAGAGCAGGCACATTTTTTCCCCTGATCTCACGCAGCCTTAATGGAATTTTCGTCCATGGGTTTTGTTCTTTTTATTTGGAACCGTTTCATGTGAACTGGCTTGAGCAGCATAATGTCACTGCTGGCTGGGAGCTCGGGAGGCATGTACAGCTGACCTCAGCATGGCTAGAGGTGTGTGGACAGAAGAAGGCAGTGTTTTATGTTCAGCTTTTCATGTTTCAAAGGGTCTGCTGCCTTTGATTTTCTCCCTAAAGGTCCTGTAGATGGGCATTGAATTCACTGGTTCTCTCCTGTGTGGGTGTCTGTTTACTATCATTTGGCCTGTATTATGCCCTTTTTAAAAATGAAAAAAAAGTTTCCTGTCCCAAACACTGGAACTTACATGCACCTTTTTTTGTTTTACCACAGTTTCTAAAAACGATCCAGGTAAGTACCTAAATGATAGAGTGGGACTCGTTGACTAAGCCTATTGTGGCTTATTTTTATCTGCCATGGTACCCAAAAATGGCTTGGTCAGAGTCACACTATGGCATAATGCCGAGGACTGCTTGTGAGAAATTGTAAGTTCAGAGTGAAAACTGCTAAAAACCTCCACAACAAACAATTTTTTCCCCCTTCCCTGTCAGTCAGTACTAGACTTGACATCACAACAATTACTTATCTCAACCTGACCTCTTGCCATGGTGTTTCCCACAAGTCTGTAAGCTGTGACTTAAATACCAAGTTTTTTCCCCCGTTTTTGAAAACCTATCTTCGATTCCCTCAAAGTGGGTAACTTTGTGAGCAACAACCGGATTACTAACGGGGGGAAAAAGCCCAATGTTTGTTGCCCTGGATCAGCCTACTTCTTGTTTCTTGGAGCCAAGAAAGAAATGTCTCCCAGAGGGGTTGAAAGTGTAGACGAAAACAGTGTTGGTCCCTCTAACATCCCCTGGCTGCTAGTTGCAGAGCTGGTTTCATGGTCTTCTGGGGTAGAATGGGTTTTAAGGAACGCAGGGTGTGTTCTAGGAGGGGAGTTTTGGTTTCGTTTAAACTCGGAAGGTGCTGTGCTGTCTGCCAGCAAAGCCCCACTGCCATTCTTGCATTCTGAGCTTGTTTCAATGGGAATGTCTTGAAGCCAGTTACAAAGTGGCTGATTTAAACTCAATTAAACTAGCACAAGAGCTCTTACAGGCAAGGAACAGGCTGATTAAATTTGTCTGACTCCCTGGCTGAGGGCAGCCAGGGTTAATGGATTTGCGGAAATTCTAAAAGTTTCTTAAATTCAATTCCTCACTTTGCATCGTTGTTACTGCAAGCACTCTGCTATTGGCTGTACTGATAACCAAACCAGCCACGTGATTGGTGGGACAATGGACAGGGGTTGTCAGTCCTGGAGCCCCACTCCCCTGCTGGTTTTTCACTGCAGCCCATCTTAATGACCGAATTAAAGCCTTAATTGGTCTGACACGTTAGTTGATTGGAATAGTTACAATTACTTTTCTACTCCGAGGTTTGCGATGTTTTTACTCATCAAATTCAGTAGTTAAAAGGTGACCTCCAACATGTTTAAGTACTGCAAAATAGTAGTATTATTAACTCAGTTAAGGGTTCAGTTGTGTAGTGTGAGACAATTGTGAGAGACTAGCTGCAACAAAAACTAGCACGTTTGTAGCCTCCAGGTTTTTATATTTAAAACCTAATGGCTCCTAACTTAAAATCTTTGTTAGGAATTGATTTCCCTTTCCCAACTAGTTGGGTTGAGTAATATTAATGGATTCCAAGCTCAATTACAGACAGTAATTCTCAGCATGCTTCTCATCATGTTGAACAGAAGAGCTGCAGTACTCATCTGAGGCAGTGATGCACATGGCTTCAAACAGCAGCCTGTTCCCACAGGTGCTCGGCAGGGGCAGCAACGCTGGTATTCCTGCCACCAGGGGTCTGTTCCCTTACTCCACAGACCAACAGCACCACGGCTTCACCAGGCTGTTGGTTTCGCCCCGATAGATACAAGAACCTTTCCTCTGCCTGCCGTGGTCTGTAACATGCTTTAAGGTCTGGCTGGTGGAGGGTTTGAGGGTTTGCTAGTCTAACCCATAGAAGGGCAAGTATGACACTTGGTAAAAATGGGAGCACAAATCAGTGCGATCTTAATGCCATTTGGAATCTCTGTAGTGAGAGAGATATTAGGGACAGTTTTATGGTACAGGGGGTTAACTGGCAGTTTTTTTAAAGTGTTACCCTTTTGGCTTGACTAGAGCTGACAGGCCCTGCTCTCATTGAGCCAGATGCTTTGTTGCGAGTCAGCCTGTATCACTGTCATAAATCCCCCTCCATATTCCTGGTGAAAGGAGGGTGGATTATGAGATGCCATGAACTAGCAAGCCTGTCAAATTATTTTTCACTCAGGTTCTCCTGGGGCCTGCAATAAACAAATCGGAAAGAACTGGAGCCTTATTTTGGGTCTGAAACATTTATAGGACTTGACTGCTGGGCAGTTCTAGGTTCCCAACCTTGACACGTTTCCCAACAAAACAAACAGCCCAGCTCTTTTGCACAGTAGCTTTAAACAAGGGCCACAAGAGAGACGAACGCATTCTGTTTTACCAGCCTGTTGCCGTAGTAATGACTGGTGCGGTGCCTATTTTGTATTGCCCTTTGACCTTTTCTGCACTACATGCGAACCTTCCCCATGATGTAAGTGAAGTAATTTTCTCAATTAGAATTTTTTAATTGTGAATAGATGTGTGAACAATTGGATTTGAAGTTTCTTGTCTGAGAACTTCACTTACTGTCCTCCTTTGTCTTGTCCATCCTATCGGAACTATAAATATTCAAATAACATGAACAGGCAGCAGAATTGAATAATGGTGCATTTTACAGAAGAACACTGATCTTCAGTGATGTATGGGTGATTTGGATAAACGTTTGACATTTACCATACCACTAATGCTATGGAGCAGTATCTTACATTAGAAGTTCTAAGCTTTGCCATGTTTAAATTTAGTGAAGAAATGTTTGCTTTGCTTTAAGTGCCTTCTGCTCCTGCAATGATGACAGTGGTAGTCATTAATCAAATTGCTGGGACTTTGGTGTGGTGTATTATGAATAAGTGTCAGGATTGTCTTATTGTCTTTGAGTTTGGCACTACGGACTGCTGTGCTCACAAAAGGAGGGTAATTCTTATTTATTTTTTATTTGTGTAAAAAGGGCTTCATTGTAAAACTGTGATCCACGAAGCTAGGTGTCAGACTTTCAGTAAACATCTTGGCTTGCCATTTTCAGCAGGAAAGCAGTCGTTGTTGACATTAACTTCAATGCTCAGAAGCCTAACCTGTGAGTTTTTTCTCATGTTTACAATGGTGCTTCAGTAAAATTATTTACAGAAGTTATCCATTAAATGTCATGAATGTCATCTAGTATTTGACAAGCATAGACACTGAGCAATTTCAATGACCATTTCTGAGTTCTGTCCTTGTTAATCATGAATCTAATTCTAGTTCTACTGTACATTTAATTACAGGCTGCTCTACCTGGCACTATGAAGGTTAGTTGCCTTTATAAACTTTTACATAGTGCTTAGATTAGACATTAGATCTCTAACTGCATATTAAAGTAGTAGAAATTAACATTTTCGCATCTTTTTTTGTGAAGACCAGCAGCTTGCTTAGTTATGTCTAATCTCATGTGAGGTACCATTTAATAAACATTTGTAGTTAGTAGTGACTCAGAATTGGTATATAGCGGTACATAATGTTTTTTAGTTTTAAAACATGTAGTTTCTTAGTTTTTGAGATCCATAATTGTAATACAGGAAGAAGGCAATTATAGACTGGATATCTGGTTTCAAAACAGTCTTTGGAATATCTGTGCAGCAATAAAATTACACCAGTTAACGAAGGCCAAGAAGTGTTATTTAAGCATGTTTCAGAGTGAGCTAGTGCACTAGTGTTTGCACTTTCACAGGTTGATACAGGTCTTCACAGAGCCGCAGAAATGATTATGACCACTAACTCACACTTTTGATTGGACAAGTTGGCGGCTCATGAAGCGAGGCATAGTCTTTTAAAGGGATATCCCAATGGTCTTGTGTTATAACATACATGAGCCAGTCAGATATCACTTATGATAGGGAGGAACTGTTGAACTCCGTTACAAAATAAAATGCTCTTTGTCTTGTGGTTTGTACATTGCTTATAGCACTGGTCACTGATAATGAGGTTTTCTTTTCAATCACAATCATTTAGTCACAGAAAACACTTAGAGGGAGAAGTCTGACTTGCAAGCAGAACCAGATCAAAACCCAAGTCACAGCTGTTGCTTATATAGAAGTGTTAGATTGTTTTCCTGAAGGTGTAATGGTTGTTGTTGTTGTTGTATGGAGAATGTGGGTGTGTATAACAGGGTTTCCACCACAGCTGATGAATTAATGTTAATTAATGTTCTCCCCAAGAAAGGACAGCTGATCTCTCCTTTAACCCCAAAGACATTATTCCGTGAAGAATGAAGTAACGTGTAAATGCTTTTACATTTCGATTGGGTGTTTAACACTAATTTGATTATACCAAGCATCAACACCTGTGGGTATAAAATGAAATATAGAAAAGTTCAAAAAGAAATTGAATGAATTGCCTAGGGCAGTTGCTTAGTGTTATATCTACATTCTTAGTTAATCCTGTTGAAAAGACTGCACTTCAAGACCCCAGCTGCATGATGAAACGTTGTCATATATAGCTATTCATTGCGGTCATAAAGATTGTTGCGCAGTTTATTGGCTAATGTATTAAAATGAATAACATAACAATTTGCTAAACTATATGCACGATACCACTTTGAAGTTTGAAGTTCCACCTCTAGCAAAGGTATTCAAGATGCAGGGTTCTAACATCTGTCTACAGCAGAGTTTCAAAGTAAGTGCTTTGAAATTGTGCTTTTCCTGTGGTGGTGTTGTGCTATCTATTAGGTCTGATCTTCCACACTGTGTGTGAATCTTACTTCCAGGAACCTTCCTTCATATGTATAAAGTCAGTTTGGAAGTGGGCACTCATATGGGTAGAGCTTAAAAATGAAATAAAGTAACTCTAGAACAGCAGTTTTCCCATTCGATTTTACTGCCTTCTTTCTTAATTAGTTAGCATCTGTTTGCAATATTACTTGACATTTCTTGTCTAATATATTTAATTTACAGGGCTTATTTTCAAAGCTCCTGTTGATACAAGGCATGTGTTAATAAAGTGAATGTTTAATAGCGTAAATCAGCAGAGCCTGCCATAAAATGAGTGTAGCATACAAAGGCATAGCAATTTAGTGACTTAAAAGGTCTTTGATTAAGAAAATAAATCACACATTTAGGACTAAGAAATGCACTTTTGAAGGCGTGTGGAGATTTATGGACTTACAGTTCTGAAGGGTTGTCGGTAGAAAGCAAAAAATGGTGCGTGGATTGTTGCCGCTACTGTCAGTTACAGTCTTGCTTGTCCTCCCCTCTCAGGCTCGTCTGCGTTGCCTAGCAATATGGCGTATTTTGGAAGCTCTCAAGATGAAGAGGATCTGGAAGAGGAGGAGGAGGATTATGAGGATGTGAAACCAGCTGCCAGTGTAGCATCTACGTCCTGCCACTCTACTCCCAGGAAGAGCAAACTACAGGGCAAACATGCCCACAACGGACACGGTATGATGGGGTTCCTGTCTGCCTGCGAGACACTGTCTTCAGGGTTGTTGTTTTTTTTGTGTTTTGCATTGCGGTAGGGTGTGGGAATTCCTGCTGCAAAAAAAATCCTGTTGCACCAGCGCGTCCAGTAAATCTCTGCTTAACGTTATTAAGTTGAAATATTGTCATTTGAAAAAAAAAATGATTTGCTCCCACCCCAATGTTGAGCGCCCTGCTCAGACGAATGGTAAAATCACAACTCTGGCTGAGTAGGTAGTGTCATCTCTTCAGTTCAGCTACGCAGACTGAACATGCCGTACTCATCTTCGATTTTTAAATCGACAAAGTTTTGCAAAACATGGCTGTCCTCATTAGGTTCGGCTGATTTAACTTTTTTTTTCCTGCAGGAACACATCACCCTGCTGCAGCATAGTCCATGGGAATATTAAATCTGAGCGTCGTTTTAAACAACGTGTCCATGACTTAATTTGTAGACTTGCTGTGCCAGTTTTCTTTTTCCTGATCTCATCAGGGGAGTAAACCATGTCGCTGATGGACTTGTCAGCCTCAAAGTCTTTTGAAGTATTGTCCGCCTTAGCGTCGGAAGTGAATGAGAAATAAAGTGTGAAGTAACTGAGCAACTGCTATAAAATTCTTGCATTTTTTTCTTACACCGTTTAAAGGTTAAGGTTTTCTTCCAGGCCATCTTTGGGCAATCCGCCCATGCACTTCATTTACTGTGGGGATGGCAGCATGCCCATAAGTGAAGAAAGGAGCAGGATCTGATAGAGAACTTATTTACACCTCTACAGTTGGAATTGCCCCACTGTTTATTAGGCTGTAATGAGTAAACTAGGGCTTGGTGTGAGTATTGGTTAGAAACTCCATTATTGGGGTCTCACTTTGGGTGAGAAGTTGTGAAAGCAGGGCTAGAACAACTGTGTCTGACTCAAGTTCCTAACCAGAACTGTGAGAAAAAAATATGGTTGGTGTGCTGGTACAGGAGTTAATTGGTTGAACTCATGAGGGAAGCTGGGCTTGTTCTCGACTCTCAAGCCTGTCACAAGTGACGATGTTACACTTAAATTTTCCCCAACTTGCAAAACTGTGTGTTGTACAAACAGAAGGAACTGCTACTTAAAAACAATGCCAAGAACTGTCACCAAGCTCCCCCTTGCTTTCCAGGCTGTTCAGGAGTTTTTTTTTATTTACAATGTCTTCTGGTTACGTCAAGGGCTGCTGTTGCCAGTGGAGTGCAGGATAGCTCTTTCAGTCGTGTTGTGTCTAGTCTCAGAGCATAAGCACCACACTAGCTGTCTTCTCTCACTGCCTGCAGTGATGATCTGGATGAGGATCAAGTTTAACAAGCTCTGCTATTTTTAGTTGAAGTTGGCAAATTCTGGTTTCATAGTCCACTGAGGTAGAACTGTATGGTTTAATACCACGTTGCTTATTGTGTTTGCAGTGGAGCGGTGCATTACAAGCAGTGTTGGGTTGGCCTTCATTAATGGTAAAGATTTCCCAGACCTTAATCATCGTTTCGTTTTCTTTTCTGCATTGCTATTTAAAAAATGAAGCTAACTACATGCTATCGGATGCAAATATTAATAGCGGAAGCATGGTGGTTTGTATTCTAATCATCATCAGATTTTGATATAGCATGTTTTATGTGGAAATTCTGGTACAGGTTGTCTGTCGTCCCATTGTGTCAGGTGTTTAATGATTTTAATCTGAGACTGCCGAGAGACTTACACAAGTGTTGGAAAAGTTCATTTGAAAATTAGTTGTATATTACTTATCTATTGGGTTACATTTTAAAATGAAACAATCTGGGGATTTAAAAAAAAAAGTTATCAGGTACGTTGGTTTGTAGTGTGTGTGTATCAATGTTGTAACATAATACATACCCTTTCTTTACACCAGTGAAAGACACTTAGATTCCTAAGGACTTGTAATGACTATCCCTCTAATAAAGTAGCTCTCTGCTTGCTATAGCGATATGTCCAATTTTCAGCCAGGAATACATTTTTTTTCCTTAAATAAATATTCTTGCGTTTGATACAGGAAACTATTAAGCCAGTTTTCCCAACAAGAATTTTGTCATAACATTGATGTCAAATTGTTTTTATGAGATTTGAGAAAGCCTTCAACCCCTGAAGGTAAAAGACAGATGTCTGAATCTGATAACAGACTTTTAAGGGGCCTGTTTATTTGTGCATATTGCTTATTAAAACCAAGGAACTCATCTTGGACCAGATTGTATTTGGACACTTTATACAAACTACTCAGAAACTGTAACATCAGCTCGCTTGCCAATGGCTTCATTGTTTTACAAAACTGTATCTAATTTTTTTTACTGCAAGATATCGGATGTCAAAATACACATTTTAAAGCCCATGAACTTCTCACTCGTTTTCATTTGTTTATTTTTCCACAACATATACCAATTATATCACCATGGCATCAATTCAGAATTGACTGAAAACAGAAGAATCGTGACTGCTTTCCCTCTTGATTTATTTAAAGTTTACCAGTAGCTGAACTCCTTAGAAAAGTGTTAAATATCTGAAAGAAAAAAAATATTTTATTTTCTAAAGCATTTTTCAATGAAAGCATTAGTCTGTAATGAATTGAATGTGAGATTTTGATCAGAACTGCTTACTACATCTCACTTGAAATCTGCGCATTCAACAGATTTAAGAAAGTTTTGCTTGAAATTGTACTGGAAGATACTGCTATTGTACTTTTAAGCACAATTTCAAAACCAAAGTGCAGAAGCTACATAAATGTAAATGTATTCTGTGAATTATGTCCTGCGGTAGCACTTTTTTGAGAGGTACCTGAAGTGAAAAGAGAAAACATCGCTCCATATTTATTGCAGCCATAGCCTGCTGCAGAATCCTTCAAGTTTACCAATACTGCCTTTTCTTAATTCACACTAACTGTTCCCTAGTGTCCTACTGACAGATGCTATAGTTCCCACTGGTTTCCATGACTTCAGATATATTGACTTTGCATGAATAGTTGGGAACTGGTTGAACTTTTCGGCAGGTATAAGAGACTATAGAGGAAATCTACACTACTGTCACGTCCCAGCTCAGAATCACTTCCCCCAGATCAGCTTCAAATGTGACCACACAGCAGAGATGTGATGCTGCCCTAGATTCAGATTACACGTCCCAACGTAGATACATGACCTCTCAAGAGTGGGTTCCTGACACCCCAAGCTGAGTGCGCAGGTGCAGGAGGACGCTGGCCGAGATTCATTAGACACCCAGCGCTGCGAGTCAGCTGGAATAGAGTGAGCTTGTGGGCTTGTTATCCAGGATTGTTCAGAACAGCCTGTGTTTGTTGATAAAGTTGGGAAAGGACAGGGGGTTCAGAGCAAGGAGGTCCTTCCATCTCATTGACCAGCTGCCATTTTGAAACAAACTTGCCTCTCCTCCCCCCAAAAAAAGATCTTGTCCTTGCAAATGGTCCACCCAAACAATTCCTGCTGATCCTTCAGCTAAATATGCTGCTTAAGACACGCAAGCTGCGGGTTTCTGAACACCAGTTCCAGTGTAGCTCCGCGCAAGGATTTCAATGGGTCCAAGGGAGTCAAAAGCCAGTTTACTTCCGACTTCACTCTTAAAACTTTGTTAAAAGGCATTGGATGCCAAATGGAGGGGAAAAAAAAGATGTCAAACCACTTTGCTAACAAGTGTGAAATTGGAATGTTTCCCAAATGTACCAAGCACCTTAGTTTCTCCTACCTCGCCACAAATGAACTTTTAAAATGGATGGTTTGTAAAATAAGTCACAATGAGAGAGGTAGCTCCAGGGAATTGTTCTGTAAATTTAATCTGCCTTGATTAAGTGTTTTTGGGGCAGCTGCTGTTCTGCCAGCATCATGACGAGCACTTAGACATGCTGCAAACAGCAACCCCAAATCACGAACCCCTTTACAAAGTACACTTTGAGGTCTAAAATAATTGAAAAGAAATTGGTTGTACACATCCGGTTCTGGAATTGGTTAGCAACATGGGCCAAAACCCCTGTTATCCTCTATAAACCCTGCGGTGTTTTTCCATTTCAAGCATGTACCGTGCACGTGAAATGAAACTCAACATTTCTATGATCGACGTAAAAAAATCTGGATGATCTCTATCCATTTTTCATTAGTTTATCCTCAACGGTTATAAGCCCGGTCTTGTCCCAAGTGGTTAGTGATGTTGTCTGTCAGAATGTTCTTGCTAATCATTCACAGTTGATGCTATTCAGGGGAAGACCAGTGAGTTCAGTCACAAGCCCTCTTTGCTGACTTGCCTTCGCAATCTTTTTCTTTTGTAACTTGTTGCGTTTTTTTTGTCAGCAGGGAGAGCATTTGATCTCAGGTGCTGCTTTGTTTTCACAACTGCTGTAGAGCCTAATTGCCTCTCCCCTCCCCGCTCTCTCCTCCTGCAGTTTTCAATGGACAAAGCAAACCGTCACGGGAGAAAGAATCCACTCACAAACACAAAGGCAAGGAGGCCACGCCGGGGAAGGAGAGGAGTGACAAGGCCGAGGGGCGCCGGGACCAGGCCTCCTCCAGTGCAGCTGCTAACCACACAGGGCCTTCACTCAAGGGCCTGGCAACCAACGGCCTCTCTCACAGCAGAACGGCTCAGGAGCTTCGTAAGCAGGTGAGGGCATCTCAATTCCCCAGGCAACACAAGAAAGTGAAATGAAAAACAAGTGGAGAAAGTGGAAAGTGTGATGCTGGCACCGCTGCTTGAGGGAACAAAACCAAAAAAAAGTCACAAAGGCGCCTGGGTCAGGGTTTAAGAAGACAACTGGTGGTGATCAAGACCTGCCAGTGTGCAGTTTCCCTAATGATGTGTTTGTAGTCTGCCTGTTAATGTTGAGACAGAATAATCCCACACAGGAAAAAAAATGGGTGGTATGTACCCAAAGTTAAGAGCACAGTGGAGAAAATTGTCTGGCTTAATGAAATCTTCCCAGCTTACCATTTCCAAAAAATTGTAGGGCTTCTTGGGAAAAGAACATTAATTTAGCAACAGTTCAGTATATTTAGACTATACTAGATAGTATACCTGGTGCAGGAAATCATTTTGCTGTAATTCAAAATCCAGCGATACATGATGCTTTTTCATCCTACGGTCAGAGTTTTGTAGAGAAAAAACTATTGTGGAAACTCCTGGTCTCTGGTCTCTAATTTGAAGAGAAGTCTTGCTTATGTTTTTCTCTTTTTTAGCAGTGAATTACATAAAGTCTTAATTAAGCTTTCAGCTATTAAAGAGGAACTGCAGTCCCAATTTCTCAGACCAGTTATTAAATCTCAGTAACAAAATAAATCAGTTGACTATTTTGCCAAATTTTACAAATTCCAAATAAAACACAAAAAACGTGGTTTCGGAGAGCGAGAATTAGTGAGAATTGAAATGTGAAGTAGCCCTTCCTGTTCACTAGTCTCTGTACTGAGTAATATAATGCGATATATGAGCGAAGAATACAGGTTGTGCAGAAGACAGTTTTGCCATCAGATACAACTTATTTGTTAACTCTGCATGTAGATCGCTGCAGTGAAATATCTTCAAATGGAGAGCAATATTTCTATTCGATTAAAAGAGATGTATTCACAAGCTTTTTTATTTACAATCTAACAAGGCTGCAACATGTCACCAGATGTTTTGTTGCTTCGTTCCGAATTGCAGAAGATGGAGCTTCACATACCTGGAAATGTTCTGTTTTGTGATGCGAATTGAAGGTTTTACATGTTACTGTGTACATTTTACTTTCATTGTGGTTTGAAATGCCACTAGGCAGTGCTGGTTCTTTCTAACGCCGAAATATGAAAATAGCCTTGCAGTTCTCCTTTAAAGTGGTAGCCGGTGCAGGAGTTTTTAAGAGTTTGTTACCTTCCTAATTAACAGAACAGTCTTTATGATTGATAATCGAGAAAAATAGCTGTTCATTTGAAGTAATTACATTTTTTTCAAGTCACTTTGAGCGATTCATTGCAGGGGTCATTTTCACTCCGTTCCTCATTTTTGATCTGAACAGAAGGTTGTAATGTTTTTTTGTGTTGTATGGTTGTTGGTGATATTTTTGTATTGCAGTGGTGCAAGACACAACGGTGAAAATTTTAGTCCAGAGTATCTGTGAAAATAAGAAAAATAGGCTTTATAACTTTAGAATTTGTACAGTATATTCAGTCTCCTTTAAGATAGAAGAGAGGTGAAGGAAGTATCGTTTAAATATCTGGTTTAAGTATCAACCACAACAATGTGAGTGAAATTACTTTATATTGTAGCTGAGTCAAATGCAAACTGACATGAACATATGGACCAAATATTTAAATAGCTTGATATTTTAAGATCTTATGTTTCCTGCATTATGCTTTGAGCCCTTAAGAGTGCGACCCTTTCATCTTATTTTCATTTATTTTAATACCCCTTTAATCTTAATACTTGCTCCTTGAGGTCCATTTCTAATAGATGTATACAGCTCTGTGCTCTGCATGAAAGCCTTATTCCATGTTTTTGTCTAGAAGGAGCTTTTTTCTCTGTACATTTGAATTTTCAAAAGCCATCCAAGTGCAAGCTACCAAGCTTTATCTATCTTGCTGTTTACAACTGCTTGTAAACTTGTCATTTTGCAGAATAAACCGAGACAGCAGGGAACTGATCGTTAAGAGGTTGAGGGGACACACTAGTCTTTAATAGAAACCTGACAACAGTTTTGCCCCAGCTATTTAAATTATAGCCATAGGAAGTTTAGCAGTGGTAGCTGATATGTCCGTCATGTGTAAAAAAAAAAAAACTAGGGCAGGGAAAAAAATTCCAGTCAAGTTTGTTTTCTGGGGAGAGGGTGGCTCTCTAGGCAAACACAACTCTGATCCATTTTCTAAAAGAAAACTGTTAAAAAAAACATTTTCTTCATAGTGACAGGAGGCTACATTCGGAGACTGAGGTATCTGTATCCGAGTCCTGAACATTAGAGAGGGAGAGAGGAGTGGAAGAGTTAAGTCCTTTTCTTCCCCTCTCCTGGTTCTCCGATGGCTCGCAGAGCTGCAGATGTTTCATGTTAATCTTCCTGTCATGCAGCAGCTGGCCTATGGCAACACATGATGTCATTTCAGCTCCTCTTCCCTGAGCTCACATGCAGCCAAATCGTCAGCTTCAAAGATTTTTTTGTTTTGTTTCTGGTGGCTCTGGTATTGGTACGTGAGAGCACAGCAAGTCTAGGCTTTCACTCCTCAGAATTGCAGTCCGAGTCCAAGACTCGGAAAACGGCTTTGCTCGTCACAACCTGCCGGCGAGCTTTTCTCCCATTCATCCTGACAAACTGAACCATTGCAGTACCAGCCAAGACTGAAGTGCGCAGACTCTCCAGAGACTTGTGGGATGGTGTCAGTGAGCCCTCTAGTGGTACATCTGGATTGTTGTTATGAGGCTATGTAAACACCTCATGTCTGAAGAATTGTATTACGTTTCAAGCTAATTTAAGCCTTAAGCTGATTGTCAGTAATGAGCCATCTTCATGTTTAATTATTGAAATCCTTAATTGTCACATAGTGAAGGATAAATAAACCAAACAGATTGTTATTTGACATACAAGTACAAAGAACTTGTATCTAAACTAGAAAATGTAATTAGTATGCTGTTACTTTATTAAACTGAAATCTTAAATGTGTGAAATTGACTTTTGGCATGAGATCTCTGCTGAAAGTGACATTAGTGCTCTCTGAATTGGTAATAAACTCTTACTGGCTGGACCAGACTGCAGATGTTGCTTTTTAATCGTAATATCACGTGTTTTAGCTTATGTAAATCAGATATACTTGTATCGAGTCTTTTTAACCCGTTGCAAGTTGATTTGAGTGTATTTTTGCATTCTAGAAACTTCAGCAGTGTTGACACTGAAATATTACCTGTGCAGGATGCAGCAGTACAAAACAGACAAAGTTCTGTATCCCACGGACCTCAGTGTAGAGACCAACCCCAGTTTAGTCTTCATTTCTTGAAGCCTGAGAAAAGCTGTGCCAAAAATCAGCAAAGTTGCATGTCTGATCTGTTTATCTCACATTTGCCTGTGCATGTTAACGCAAAATAAATGGATGCTTTGTTGCAGAAAAGATTTTAGACATTGATGTTTTTAAGATTCCCCTTCTTAAATTCTAAAACTGATGTAAACCTCAAAGAAGAATCTTGTCTTCTTCCTGGGTTTCTGAAACTAGTGTAAACCTCACAGAGGAGTCCGGTCTTCTTCCCGGGTTTCTGAAACTAGTGTAAACCTCAAAGAGGAGTTCAGTCTCCTTCCTGGGTTTTGGTGGCAGAGAAATGACAAGACTGGTCCTGGTGCAGATCAGTGAGACTAATTTCTGCTACTAGAGGTGACCCATAATTCATGTGATGGGGCAACTAGCAGCTATATCACCCTGTAACTCACAAGTTGTAACTTACTGAAGCTCAACGGGCGTGAGCCTGGCCAGTACCTGGATGGGAGACCTCCTGGGAAAGCTAAGGTTGCTGCTGGAAGAGGTGTTAGTGGGACCTGTGGTCTCACCCTATGGTCCATGTGGAAGACCCAGTATAGTGATGGGGGGACATTCTCTATTAAAAAAAAAAAGGTCCCATCCCTCAAATAAGACTTATTAAAACTGAGAGACTGACCCTGTCTGGTCATTAAAAATCCCAGGGTTCTTCTAGAAAAGAGTAATGTGTTACCCTGTTATCCTGACATTTTCCCCTGGCCTTTACCAATCATGGCCTCCTAAGAATCCCTATCTCTGAACTGGCTTCATCACCCTGTTCTCCTCCCCACTGATAGCTGGTGTGTGGTGAGCGTTCTGGCGCACTATGGCTGCTGTCGCATCATCCAAGTGGGTGTTGCTCATTGGTGGTAATAGAGTGGAGATACCTGTAAAGCACAGTGCACTGTCCAGAAAAACACTGTATAATTAAGATTATGTGTAATGTTTCTGCTTTCAGGCAGTGGGGTATTGGAGCAACATTTTAATGCTTTCTGGGGTTGGAGGGGCTTTCCCCTCACTGCAGATTTGTTTGGTCTCCAGCCTAGGATCCTGGGAAAAGCTGTGATGTGTAGAAGATGCCATCAGCTTTGAGGAGGCGCACTGTGCACAGCGTGTGGTATTTCACTTCACAAGCTCTGCAAGGGTTTTCCTTCTCTGCCCATCTCCACACAAGAACGCGTGTTCCAGAGCTCGTCAACACGCCGCTTCAGGGCCACAGCCCTCTTTCATTAGTGCCGTCATTGTCAGATGCCGCAAGCTTGATGGAACACAAGCACGCGCGTGGCATTGGAGGGTTTTTTTCCACCGTCACTAATGTGCACGAGCTTTGATGTTGTGGGGGTGGGGTCCGAAAGGTCCTTTGATTATGCTCAGGCGAAAAAGTACAGTTCGCCTAGAGCTAAAGCTGAGCCTTTTGCCAAAACGAGGTGATCTTTGACATTTGTACCCGTGGCTCGGCTTCAGGCGTGCTCTGTGAAGGGAAGGTCCTGCGTCGGGGGGAGAAGGTAGCAGCACTTGATTTCTTCCCTAGGTTTTCTTGCGAGCGACTTTCGCTTCGCCAGTTGTTATTTTGTTTTTTTGGCCCACCCACTCAGTCGGAGTTTGCCGGCTTGGCGAGGCGCGCGTGCGCCCGCGCTCCTCCGGCACTGCCGCTCGTCTAAGCGACTCGTCCCATGCCGGGCGGCGAGCTCCCAGGAGAGCTCCAGCCAGAGGGGCAGCCGGAGCTGCCAGCCCGCTGAAACCCAGCACCCGTGCTGCAGTGGGGTGTAGCTCCTTGGTGGTTCCAAGGGGCTGAAGACGATCGGTGTCACCCAGTCTGCGTCGCCGGACTCATCCTGCTTTACGTGAGCTGTTAGGGACCACCCAAGCTCACATTTTTCAGGCTTTTTATAGCACTGCAGGTTGCTTAGCAGGAATAAAACATAATCTGAAACAGACTAATTATCGGAGCTAATTAGACTAATTAGCCTTTTCTGACAGCTGCTTCTTGTTCTAGTGGGCTTTTATTATTATGAGTTCCACAGATCATTGGTGACTAAAGTGTCTGCTTAAAAATAAAAAGCATGTTACTAGCAGTTACAAGCCTAAACAATGAGGAGATCAGCTCTGACTTCTTGCACTTCGGCGTTGGAGTGTCATACAGTAATGGATGTCATACAGAGGATTGTGCTGGAGGAAGTGAAATAACTTGGGGTACACGCAGTTCAAATTGGTTGCAGAGATAGTTAGATTTAGGAACATTTCAGTAATTCTTTGCTTCTGGATTACATCAATCCCATATGGTGAAGAAATGTAGCAATTGGTTATGATATTCTGCCTATGTGTAGGGCAGCGTTTTGATGTTATGTCTTAATAATTAAGTAACTTTTTGGTTGTTACTCACAACGCTTAAGTTTTCTCCGCTGTTTTTGTAGAATTTGAGAAATTGAGGCTCTCCAAAGACATTCTCTGGAGAAACTTTTGCACAATTTCAAGACCATATGTTGTGAAAATGTGGCCAAGGAAGTCAAGAATTCCTGCTGGGTAAAATATTTGATTTCCCAGAGTTTCTACTGATCAGTGGGGTCTCTTTCTCAATAAACGTCCTCTTTCAGATTTCAACTCTGCAGCAAGAAAAGAAAACCATTTCATGTTGGAAATCAGTTGAATTTTAAAAGATTAATAAGAATGGAAATATAGATTTTTTTTTTTCCATCTTGGGATATAATTCAGATTTAGCAATGAACTATTTCGTATATGATATCTAGAGTTGGGAAGAAAAGGCTTCTACTTCTGCTAAGGTTTTTAGAATTAATTTGTTATATGTCTTAGCTGTTATAGTATTTAACTGTTGCCTTTTCTGAAATTAGATTTAACATGCTCTGCATCATAGCTGGTACTACACGTAGAGGGGTGGCACATACTCATTCTCTGAAATGAGGTATAGTTTGGTATTGTTCAGTTTTTTAGATACTGGGCCTGCGCATTTCTGATTGTTTTTACGACTAAATTTCTGGTGGTTCTTTCGAAGACAGTTGCATTTGAATTATAGAACAGGTTTTGCATATTTGATGCATGTTCTCCTGTGATTTTCTGTTCTTAGAATTGTAATCTTAATTTATGATTAAATAGATGTACATATATTTCTTCAGGGCATCTTGTTTTTTTCTCTAAAGCAGTCTGTAATGAAGCAAGTGGACATTATGGACTCATAAACCTTCTTAGAACTTCTCAGTTCCCCCAGACGTTGTGGGGTACAGTAGAGTGACACCCTGTAACCGTCCAGTGCTAGTCAATGTAAAGGGGGAGCTGTAAGACACAAAGACACGATATAACGGTTTTGGAAGTGAAAATGCATTCTGGTTCTCTACTTTCAGTGCCTAATCATGAGATTAAATTCAGTCTTTGCGACTTTCTCCTGCAGGTTTCGAAAGTGAACGGGTTCACCCGGGCCTCCTCCGCAGGCGCGCACACGCCCAGTGCCAAAAAGACCAGAGACTTCCGACAGTCGCCGTCCAAAACTGTGAAGTACACAGCCACCGTGACCAAGGGCCACGTCACCTACACCAAAGCAAAGCGAGAACTGGTCAGGGAAGCCAAACTCGGTCACAGCAGACACACCGCCTCTCACCCCGCCCACCATCACAGGAACCACCATCACAGCCATCACCACCCACACCCCCGCGGCAGTGCTGCGGCCCACCCTCGCCTCCCTCACTCCAACTCAGGAAAAGCTGAAAGAAGCAATGCAAAAACTCGCAAACAGGTGCTATTATCCAATGGGGTGCACAAGGCCAACGGGAACTGCCTGCGCCTCAACGGGAGGCTCAACGGGCGGCTCGGTGCCAAGGAGGAAGGCAGGCGGGTGCGCGAGGGCCTGCGACACTCGAAGAGGCGTCTGGAGCCCGCGGCGAGCGGCGGCGGCGGCGGCGGCCTCTCAGGGAAGCGGCTGCCAGTCGACGCCAAGAAGGCCAGGCTCCAAGCCCGCCCCCCCGAAACGCGCAGCAAGACCGCTCACCCGGAAAAGCCCCCGCCCCTGCCCCCAGCCCCATCCCCGGCCCTGGCCAATGGGCATGTGAAGGAGGCGGAGGCACCCAGCTCAGAGAGACAGAGGCCCAAGAGGGCTTCAGCCAGCAAGTTGGTGTTTGGCAAACAAGCACACCACAAGGTGCAGGGCACCCCGGGTGAGAACTGTTCTACTACCTCAGCAACCGAGCCCTCCCCCACCCCTCATAAGCCAGCAGAACCTAAAGTGGAGAAAGAGAAAGGCAAGACCGGCTGGTCCTCCATGACTGAGGTGCCTGTCTTCAGGCCCAGCCACAAGGAGTTCCAGGACCCCCTGGTGTACATGGAGTCTATCCGGGAGCAGGTGGAGCCCTATGGCCTGTGCAGGGTGATTCCTCCCCCGGACTGGCGGCCGGAGTGCAAGCTGAGCGACGAGATGCGTTTCGTCACGCAAGTGCAGCATATTCACAAGCTGGGCAGGCGCTGGGGCCCCAACGTGCAGCGGCTTGCCTGCATCAAGAAGCATCTCAAATCTCAGGGCATTACCATGGAGGACCCCCCACTCATAGGTAAGTCTCTTTTCACATACAGCCGTGGGCGCCTCTGGTTTGGTCAGCTTAGACAGAGCAAGTTCCCTGAGCCTAGAGGAGCTGTGATCAGCTGCCTTAGTGACTAAAGGCCACATCTAGTAGAACAATGCCCGAGTTTTTCCTGTCAAAGAAAGGCCTTTGCGTGCTGTGTCACACACTCCTCAAGATATTTGCCTATGTGGTCCTGTGCAGACAGGAGATTGCCTTCTCGTGGGAAAAGGACAGGCATTGTTTGAATCTACAGCACCCCTACACTAGGGAAGTTAGAAGTAAAGTGAATACAAGACGAGATCTTCAAGCCACGTCAATAGATTTGGGGTTTAACAGGGGTATCTCTCAGGGGTTGTGTACAGGTTAGTCAGCTGGGATCCCTTGGCTTTCTGGCAAATGGCTGTACCTGCAGCTTGCTGGTAATGCCAGCGAGGGACTAAGCTTCCTTTCAGGTGGTGTGGAGCCCACCGTGTGTCTGCCTCTGCAGGTGGACATGCTGGAGGTGCTCAGCCTTGTGTCTCTTTGCCTCTCAGGGGGGTATGGTCGTTACTGCCAGAGAACCGAGCCTTAAAACCTGAAAACACTGGGCGTGTAATAAACGTCATTTGATCATGGTTCTCAGTTGCTTTTCAGAGTGCAGGCTTTGTCAATTTTTCAGAAAAATACAATGGGAGCTTTGAAATGGACCTTGCAAAGGTTCTGAAAGAATGCCTTGCCTGCAGCTAAATCAAACTCCTGACTACAGTTTTCTGGTGCAAGTATGAATATGTAACTTACCCAGCTCCCCTTGGTCAAACCTGGGTCAGTACTAGTGCTTGTACTATGTACCCATGTTTCAAATTGTATACTGTAAGGTCCATTGTAAAGAATGTTTGTGCCCTGCTGTTTCTGAGGGTGAATCAAAAAGAAACAGATCTGGGAATTGCATAAGAGTAGATGTGGTACATTTTCCTTGACATTAGCTAAGATCTGCCTGTTGCATTTGTCTTTCTTCGTATATGCTCATGCACCAGTGGTAGCTGGAAATGCACTGCAATGTTACAGCATAAGCACTAACAACCCCCTTATTGAACCTTTCGCTGGTCTGCTGCTCTGTACGTCTGTGGCTGTCTAGAACGGGGGACGCAGATGAGGCATCCGCGTGTTGTACGACTCAAATAACATTTGGTCGTGTAAGATGTGCAGAACGTTGTGCCATTGATGGGCAGAGTGTTTTTATTTTGCCCCACTTGCTCAGTTTTTTAGAGTGTACCTCAGGATGCCTCAGAAAGATATCAGATACAAAGAGAAGATACATCCCGTAACCTTTATTTACTAATAATTGTAAGCTGAGTGCAGGGGGTTCCTGCTTTTTCTTTATGGACACGTTTCTGCACATCACCACACAGACAAACTGCTCAGTGCTGTGATGGAAATTAAAGATAAGGCTCTTCCTGAAAGTTCACTTGAGGGGAAGTTTTCCCCTCTTGCAGATTATCTACTGTTGGAACGTATTGGGCTGGAAAAAAAATCCTGTTTATACCGTGAGAACGTGATTGTTTGCCGTACACTGAAGTAAAGTCAAAATGAAAACAATTAATCTTACGACATACAAAACAGACCAAGGATGCAAAGGGTGTTTTTTTCTCATATTCTAAGTAGGGGGAAAGAACTTTGTTCTCCTAAATGGTCTTTCTTTAAATTGAGATGGGTTGGTGAAAACACAACAAGTTAAGTGGGGTACTGCTGGCTGTGGCAGCCTTGTTTATTCGAAGAGTGCCATACTTTGGAATCGGTGCCGCCTTTTGTTTTGGAACAATTAAAAAAAAGACCGTGAACAAACCAGGGATCTAGTTTCTCTTTTAAGAATATACAGTTGACACCGACGAGCAAATATGAACATTAAATGTTTATTTGTGCTCTTTTGCCCGTGGTTAGTTATTACATGTAGACTAAGGCTCTTCCAGTTCACTGGAGTTCATTCTTTTAAATTAAATCCATGTACATGTTCAAAAAGATGGATGACCTGACTGGCCTTTTCTATGCTTGGTCTGTTTTGGTAGCGCCTTACCTTCCATGCTCTCTGAAATGATTTCAAAGATCTCTGTTTCACCTTGGTTCCATATTATTCTCTCAAAACAAGCAGATATATAGTGAAGCGCCGAAATTTAAAAAACCTGTTCGGTTACGGGTCCTTCAGTTTGGGCATTGAGTGGCATTTTTAGAAGCTGAAGATGTTGTTCGAGATGGATTTCCAGGTAATGAAGAAAATATTCTTCTCCTGAGGTAGGCTTCACTGCTTTTTGTAAAACACTAAAGAACAACGCTTGAGTAACTCAGTAATCTTTTTTTTTTTTTTGAAAGGGCATGTTCCTTTTCTTAATTATTAATTTTTTTTTTTTTGCCTTTTGTGACATGTCATCCAAAGTGCTTCAGAAAGATGCCTGGGACACAACCTCACCTTTAGATGTTCAGAAATTCAGAAAGGGAACATAATACAAAGTCCTACCTGGAGGTGTTAAATGAGCAACATGCTGAGAGATGTGCTCTTGACAAAGCAAACAAACTAGCAGGCAAAATAGGTTTGTGAGGGTTGAGGGTCAGGGCTCCCCATCAAACCACTTGTCTTTTGTGACTAAACGTTCCTCTGTTGTAAAGGATTTAAATTTCGCTCCTCCTCTGTGTAAAGTCTTGCTGTATTTGCAGGTGTTTGCTGGTGTACGTGGTGTCTTGTCGCTGCATGTGCTTACAAACTCCACTGTTTTTGCTTGTGCATGCCCCAGTTCAGGAGTTCCACTGTTTTGCTGGTGCTTCCACATGAGAATTAGGGCATGCAAGTTAAACCAGCGTGCACACCACCAGAGCCCTTGCAGATAAGAAACCATGTCGTTGTTGCTCTTTTGTGGTATTTCTTAGTGCGTTGGTGTTGTCTTGCTTCACAAATCCCTTGCATGTGCTTCTAAACAGGAGCTTTGTCACTAAAAAAAAAAAAACAAGTGTCCCTTTCATCAGCTTGGGGAGTTTCTTGCAGACTGCAAGAGCAGGACAAGTCCCATCCTACTGCACGCAGGATAAGATATCTAAATACATTGTCCTTCCAAGCAATGGAGTGCCGTGCACAGTGTGGGGTCATTTCTCTCCATGATAATGAAGCCTGGAAACCTGCGGTGCTAATTTTAAACAGGAAGACATATTGCCTTCAAAGAGTGAGCTGTGGTTTACATCGATGCTGGCTAATTTAGTCATTACATTTTACTTTTCTTTTGCATGGGTGTAGAAATATACCTGCACGTTTTCTGTAATGTAAGCCCTGTAATTAGCTGTACCTGGTTTTGAAGCAGGGAGAGGCTATAGGTCATACTAGACACAAGGGTACAGCAAGGAAAGCATGATTCCAATAGAAAAAAAAACAGCCGTGATGCTAATTAAACTAGCACGTCCTTGTGTCTGCAACCTTATGAGAATTTGATATGAATACCTTTTGCAAACAGTCAACAGCAACATTTTAAAATCAATCTGACTTTAAATTTAGGGTTGATTCGGTTTTTTTTCAGCCATTCGAATGCTTGTGCAGCTAAACTCATCATGTCCTGGAGTCTGGTATTTGTGGCTTTTTTTCCCAGTGTGATGCCGAGATTCCTGTGTGCCTCCTCATTTGAACAAGAGGTAACATGAGTTACTGTAGGACAAAGGAAGAACAGATGATGGAGGTACAGCCAGCTGACAAAGTCACCTTTACCTCACTTCACACTTCCAGAACAGCACCTTTGTAAAGGCGTATTTTGGAATGGAGTCCCTGGGAGCCCTAGACGGTGCTGATAATGACGGATTACTCTGACATTGCTGAGAGGGTCACTTTGATGAGATTACAGAGGCATGGGAATTGTCATAAAGCCAAGCGTCATTTATTGTTTAATCACATCCAGGGAGACCAGGAGCACAGCCAGTACTTGTGCTGCGTTACAGGAAAACATTTCCCATTCAGCTCTCGGTAGCTCTTGAATCTGTTCTGGCTGTACTGTTCTAGTTTTATTATTTAGGAAGCGTGAACAGGCACTCCAGGCAGTTCAATGTGTACAGCTCTTCAGAAGCAGCTCTCAAAATTGAAAGCTGTTTGTGTGGCTCTTGTGAAATTCTGTAACAGATTGAGGAGGTAGGAGCAGATTTTAAGAACAGTAGCCAGGTTAATGTGGGTGAAATGAGGTTTGGGAATAGTGATTTAGGGGTTGCAAGGGACACTTTATAAATACATAAGACGATACAATCCATACATCATCGTAAAGCACTTTGATATTAAAATCCGGCTATTGTTAATAAACCAATAATTAGCAGTATTTAATTACTACTAGCTTGATTTCATTTTTTATTACATGTATAGTTATTTTATAAATGGAATTTGTAACCACTCATCTTAAATATTACCAAAAAGATGGTAAAAATGGTGAATGTGTATGTCAATGTAGATGTACACAATAGTAACTTTTATTAACAATAGCCATGTGAAGAAATGAATAAATCTGCTTGCTGTAACTTACTGGTAGCACCATGCGCATCTGAACAAAAGGTCGTTTTTAAACAAATGTTTATACAAAACATTTTTATGGGGTGCCTGTTTTAATTGGAGATTGTTTTTAATTTGTTTGCTGTTGACATTGGTTTTTAAACAGGAAAAATGATATTACTCTTTCTCTGCATACAGTTGCAGTTCAGTTTCTTCACTACAGGTTTAAAACAAATGCACAACATATATTTTATGGTATCTAGGCACAGTGTAAAGAGACCCGATTTAGTGTAAAACATAAGAAATCATGTATAAGTTGTGGTCCTTAATGTTTTGACACTTTCACACTTTGGACTGATGTAGTCACAAAAGGCTTTGAATTATTGTATCATACATTTACTCAAATTAAAACTAAAAACCCACAAACCAATCGTTTTCTAAAGGATTTTCAATTTGGCATCTTCCATCTGCTCTACATCATGTACGAGTGTAATCACTGGTCATGTGTTGTGCTCTGAGACTTTCTTGTAAGAAATGAAATCCATGAATGTGCTCTTTGTAAGGAGACATTGGAGTGCCAGTAAATATTTTAAAACTGAAAGTATTAAACTTGTCTTAGAGCTTTATGCTTAAGATTTCAGTTTACCCCGTGCCTGAAATACATCTTTTTATCTGATGGCAGTACGTTTAAATTATCTTGTATTCTCCTGATATGTCCTAACAAGATGAGTGGCATTGGGACTTTTATTTTAAAATGTAGGCATAAACAAACGACTTTGCCATAACGTAAGCTCGAAATTGGAAATACAGATGTCTCGCTGCCTTCTGAACGAAAAAGAGCTTTGCGATGAAGCATTCCAGAGCTCCGATCATTGCGCACTGCAGAGTAGGCTGCCATACGTGCGCGTCAAGAAATGTGACTCCTGTCTTTTCTTTCCCCTTTGCTAGGAGGCTGCGAGTTGGACCTGGCCCGCTTCTTCCAGCTCATCAACGACATGGGGGGCATGCAGCAGGTGACGGACCTCAAGAAGTGGAACAAGCTGGCCGACATGCTGCGCATCCCCAAGTCGGCCCAGGACCGGCTAGCCAAGCTCCAGGAGGCCTACTGCCAGTACCTGCTGTCCTACGACTCGCTGTTGCCCGAGGAGCGCCGTGCGCTGGAGGAGGAGGTCCTGGCCGAGAAGGAGAACCTGGAGAAGAGGAAGGGCCCGCTGGAGGGCCACTCGGAGAACGCCCACAAGTCTCTGCTGCTGCCCCGGTACGAGCCCAAGAACGGGCTCGTTAACGGCGTGGTGCACAAGAATGGCTTCCGCAATAAGCTGAAGGAGCTGGACGCTCAATTCAAAACCGGCAGACGGCGACTATTTGCTCAGGAAAAGAAAGAGAACGAGGAGGAAAATGGTGTTCTTAGTGACCAGCACAAGTGTATATACAAGGTAAGGCTTGCCCTTTTCTTCTTGTTTTTCTTTGCTTCTAATCAGACTATCCTGATAGTTTGACCCCCCCGATACCCTGGGGTACACTTGTTTATGAAATTATGAAATCATCCTCTAAACGCAACATCTTCGCCAGTTCGGCAGTTTGCCCACTTGTCAGATCTTCTGACGCAATCCAGCTGTTGGATCTCGATCTAATAGCTATCTCCTGGATTTCAACCATCCTTCTCCTCTTTGGTCTTCCTCTGGGACATCTTCCAGCTGGAATCCAGCTCACTGCCTTGCTGGATTGCTGGTCTTTTCCCCCTCTCCACATGGGTCCACCTCGTGAAATGATCTGTCCTCTTCTTTGTACACACTCTGCTGCCTGCCTTTTACTCCTCCAATCTCTCTATCTGTTCCTTTATTGCAGTCCAGTTATCACAAGAGGGTTTTGTGCCCCAGCGTGCGGTGTTCTTACATGAACACTCACAGGGCCGTGCCGAGACCCGTGAAGATCGATCACTCTTGTCCAAGCACTTTCTGCTCTTCCTTTGTCTACCAGCCCAATCCCAAAATCCAGACAGTCCTTGTCAATTCCAAAAACCGTTCTGCAGTCAGATTTCACTCCTCAACTACATTGCACGTCGGCCATTTTGTGCTCTGATGGCGGTCATTTCCTGTCCTGTTCTATGCACAGCTATATTGTAATGTAACATTAGTTAAGGAGATGCTATACAGCTGTAAGTAGTTCCCAAGTTTGTATCCATATCTGTAAAAAAAAAAAGAGGCAACCTTGATTTTTTTTTTACTTACGATGGTTTTATCTTGTCAAGTTCTCTTCGGTTCATCAGCTTCCTTCTGTGTCCTCTGGAATTATACATTATATTGTAAAATAGGAAATTTGATACTTCATTGGAAGAGTTTTTGATTGTCAGGGGTTATTAGGGGCAGTGCCTAAGGTTATTATATCACAGGGTTAATATTTTAATACTCTTAATTACTACTCCTATTATTTAATTTGTAATTCAAAGCCAGTCAGTTATTGTCATCTTATTATATCACTTCCTCGTTATGAAGACTGCAATAGCTTAGTGGCACAGCAACGCAACAATAAGCAAAGTCAGTGTATTTTATTGAAATGTTATAGAATGTTTTCAGTATGGGTCACACGGATACCTTGCATTTAGCATGGTTTAAAAAAATGCACGTAATTGTGAGAATAGCTTTGCCACAGTGAAGAATAAAAGGCCTGATTGATGGCAAAGGGAGGTAGTGCGGCGCAAACAGCTGAACAGCTCGATTCAGTGATTCGCTTTCGGCTCTGAACACTGCCCTGCTTCATGCTGGAGGATCTGTGAGCTTCGTGCTTCAGGCAAAGAGCCTCCATCAAGCCAAGAGAAATTATTGCAACTATAAATTACTGAATGATGACTGAAAGCAAGAGCTTTAGGGGAGTTTGCACAAGATCGGGTTTTGTGTGCCTTGGACTCTTTCTGTTATTTTTCTGTTTCGAGCTAGATTTTTTTATTTTCGCTCGCTGGTTTTTGCACCGTAGTGGGCTGTGGCTCCGTGCCAAATGAAAGGGAGTTTGGCAGCGGCTTACGGTATCGTTTTAAGGCTGCTTTCCTGCTTCGGTAGAGTCGAGATGAAAACCTTTCAGCGCCAGGTGTGAGGTAAGGTAAGGCAGGCAGCAAAAAGATCTTGATTTTTGTTGCCATCCGCTCATTTCTCTGGTGTCCGTACACGGACGAGCGTAACATAAACGTCCGCTCGGCTGTGGTGCACGGAGTGCAGGAAGACAGAATAGATCGCCAGTCGAGAAACCCCTGTCACTTTTCCCCATTACTCGGCTTGTGCTTGTTCTTGCTTTTACGCTTGTTTGGGTTGTTGCAGATGTCTCGGAAATGGTTTCTTTGCCAGTGTTTGAAGCAGAAGTCTGCCTTGCCTCTTCAGCGTGCTGCTAGTTCAGAGAATGCTCATTCTGTCTCGTTGCCTTGCAGCAGGCAGTCTTGATATGCTGTAGCACCCTTCATACCACGGTGTGCCCCAGAACTCTTCAGAATTATACGGCATAGCAGCTCACATTGTAGCAACAGTGGAGCATGTGGGAGAAGAGGACAGGAAAATGCAAATTCCCAGTGGGAGCAAAAACCTCTGGGAATCCCGGATCCAATGGGTAACCCCCACCCCACCCCAAGCAGTTTGTGGTACTTTAAGATAAATGGCAGACAATCTCTGCAGTATCACAAACTGGAATTTTGCTGTCCTCATTGTGTCATCGGGGTTATCAGAAGTAGCTGAGACTTCCTGGTTCTGCCATCTTAGATGTAGCATTCCAGTGTCTGATGGCACAGGTCTGTGCACTGGTATCCAGGCAGTGGAAAGATAAAAAAAAAAAGTGGGGATGTTTGTTGCATTGTGTGTACAATAGCAGCCATATTAGATTATAGACTGAGAAAACCTGTTTCATTAGTCTGTTTCTGAGCCTCAGTATAGATGATGAAATCTTAGGGTTCTGTGGTTTGGGAAGACATTCTGAACTTTTGGGGCCGTTTAGCTAAAGACTCCCCTGCCAGCGCAGGTGTTTTCCTTGAGGAAAAAGACCCTGGTCTGTTCCTGTGCCTGTGGGCTGTGGCTGGTGGGAGCGCGTGGCAGTCTTTGCTGGAGACCCACAGTAAAGGTGCTTCCATGAGAACAAATCCATAGCATCGCTGTTGTATTATACTTTTCAGCTGCTTAAGCACTTGCTGTCTTTACACTTGTGCCATGGTTTGTTTTCTCTCAGTAAATGACAAGGGTTGTTGAAAGCAGAACAATGAAACAAGCACACAGCTTATTTCTGTAAAGAAACCAGCACAGTCTCTATCTTATCTTGAAAGCGCCTGTAACAGATTCAATTCCCTCCCCAGTTTCCTGGCTCTGCTCTTTCCCTTGAGGATACTAACCTGTTTTGTTCAACACTTGCTCATAACTGTATTCCGACTTGCTGTGAGGTCATCTGTCCTCTTTTTGTTTTTAACCCTTAAGAATGCCCCTTTTTTTAACTGAGCGTCTTTTCAGATCCGAAAACCACAGCCGCTCCGTTTTTATCTGTGAAAACCCATTACTAAGCCACCTCCACGAAGGAGTACAGCATTTTCATTCAACCCTGGAGTTTCAAAGAGGGTGTCTTTGACGCATAAATACATCAGGAGCAGGGGCCTTGGACAGGTTGAGCACAAGAAGCATTATGGCATGAGAAGTAGACGCTTATTTAAAATCACTTATTTATTATCGCTTATAATTGCCCACAAGAATACAAACATAGCTTTAAAGCTAAATAAGCTGTTTTGGACACTTAGATTCAGATGGTATTTTTCCTATTTGTACTTAGAAGCAAGTGTAATTTCTAGATTATTTATAAAGACTGATTACAGTCTTTGGACAATATCCATTGATTGTAAAATTACAACTGCAGAGCTCTTTCTCAGAAAAGGAAGGTAAATCCAAGCCAGGTCATTAAAGATTTGATAAATCTCGCCCAACTGGTCAGTTTAGACTTTATACAAGAAGCCCCACTAATGGATGCAGTGTTTCAAAGGCTGTAGGCTTTCAGCGTAATGTGTGCATTTAGATTAGAAAGCAGTACAGCTGAGCACTGAACACTCAAATTCAACTGATGTACATTTAATATATGCAAATTGACTATTTCATGGAGGTAGGAAATGCAAACTAAATAGTAGACACTGAGCTTTAAGATACCATTGAGGAAAGGTTAGTAAACCACAACTTGTCTAGCAGAAGATTTGAAAGCAGAAGAAGGAAACAAAATGTTAAGACAGTTTAGCGTTGAACTGAAATCAAAGGAAGTTACTGTACAATTGTGGTCTTCCACGGCACCTAGTATGGGAAACATCCATCTCGGAGGACTGTGCCTTTTCTATAGAAAACAAAGCATCTGATTAAACTTAAAACCAATTATCCTGGTGTTGATGTTTGTTTTCAGGGGAGGTCGGTATCCCTGACTACATTCTACAGGACAGCCAGGAACACCATGAACATGTGCTTTAACAAAGAACCTGTGGCAGCTGAAGTCGAGGTAAGGGTATGACCTGCGGTTTACTTTGGTAAAATGCAGTATATTTCCCCCGTCTTTCTTCACAGACCCTTAACTCCAAGGGTGACACTGGCTTTTCACTAAGTTGGGATCTGGTTAAGACTCTCATTGCCAATTGCTGTGTAAAAAACAATTATTAAAAAATGTGTGGAACGATTAAAGGAAGGGTATTCTTTTAACTTTGAGATCGTTTGGAACGAAAATCAGAAAGTCCTTCCACTATTAAGAAACAGGGGTCCCTTCATTGAAACTTCATTACTTCATCACTTCTTTAATTGGTCAGTTTGTAACGCATAAATAAGAGATGCCTTAATATGACGTTTTAAGATTAACTTGCCTCAGGCTCCTCCAGGACCAAGACTAGATATCATGGATTCAGGGTGGTACTGGAAGACGATCCGGATGGGGGCTCACCAGATCCAGAGTTTGGAGACCCCTGGTGTAGATGATGTTTGGTCACAGCGAGGATGTCTTTCTCTCCGATTACAGCAAGAATACTGGAGGATAGTGGAGCAGAAGGAATGCCATGTTGCAGTGCATTATGGGAAAGTGGATACCAACACACATGGGAGCGGCTTCCCTGTGGCAAAGTCAGAGCCATTTTCAAAGTAAGCTGCTCCATCTCTTTTGTAGGAAAGCGTGTCTGTGCCCCCTCCCCCCCCCAGTGTACACTGCAAGCCATCTGACCATCTGAATCCTAGAGTCTGTTGCTAAAGCTTTACATATCTTTGTATTGTTGAAGGTTTTAATGTTGATTCTTCTTACATGTGATTTGATACCTTTTTTATGTAGTGCAAATCAACTCTATTACTGGCTCCCCATCTTAAAGCGATTAAATCCTAATTGCCTGTGATACACAAACCAGATTACAACAACAAAACACATTCCTATTCATTTGAAGTTTAATTTTCTCTTAATTGTAATTGGCTGGGCTATAAAGAATTGCAGTCATGCGCTAAACACTATTGATCAGCACTATCGCTATTTGTTCAGTTCTAAAATGGGTTTCATTTTTGTGTGATTTATCTTGGGGACAGCTGGAGGTTTTTTTTATATTTAGCAGTTTTTCAAGCTGCACAACCTCTTGCTCAACTAGTTGAAAAGGGCCTAGTGTTCTGGCTAAGCGGTTGAAGATTCAGACTTAATTGGGTTGAGAACAGTTTAGGAGAGAAGCCCTTGAACATTTCAGCATAACTTGCAGCTTTGAGAAATTAGCTATTGAATTATAAGGCTGTCTAGGAAACTTGATTTGGCCACCATTCTTCCTGTACCTTCATGTAAGGGAACATCACATGTTGCATGACAAGAATGTAGTTGCTAGACTCTACAGTATGGGGTAAATCAACTGGATTATAAATGGTGATTTTGTTCTTCCATACAGGCATGGATGGAACCTTACAGTCCTTCCTAATAATTCAGGATCCATCCTGCGCCACCTTGGTGCTGTGCCTGGTAAGACATCTATGCTCTTTTCCACCGAAGAAGCTCAATGTGCCCACAGCGGCACCAGTTCCAGTTTTTAAAATGGAGGAAATGCCAGTCGTGCTGTTGTGCAAGATTTTCTTCAGCGTTCAGAACAGGCTTTCCTAAAGAAAGAAGAGCCAACCTTTTTGTCTGACACTATATTAAACCTGTTCGTGATTGACTACCAGCTCCAGCTAAAGCCGTTTTTCACCTATTAGATCACGTTTTGACTTGCTCAGAAAAAAGAGGTAGTGTTGATGTCTCATTAGTTGAGCTGAGCAGACATTTTTGGTGGCCGGTCATGATAATACTGGCCCTTCGTGCCCTTTCACCAGTTATAATAAACTTTAATAATGGCTATTTTAGGCTTACTGCTTGACTCGGTGACATTTGCCTTTCCATTATTCTAAACCACATTACTACCCCAAGGAAGAAGATTAAATAGGAAAAGTTTCTCAGCACTGTTGTTCATTTTGGAAACACTTTAAAAGCAGTCTTCAAACAGTAAATAGGTGATTCTAAAATGTCTTCTCCCACTCCGTATAAAGAAATATCATTCACAATTTTATAAAATTGAGCCTAGCAGATGGATGTTTTAAATTAATGAAAATAACTGGAAATTTTGCAGAAATCAGATACTCTCCATTTTATCTTGAAAATGATTTTTTATTACACATAAACAAAAGTTCCTAAAGCTTTTCCTAGCAGTGGGGGTTAAAAACAGCAGCTGACAGCTCCGGTTAAGGAGACGCATTAAGAGTTCAAGGCATGTTTTTCGGGACACTGCGGAAGAGAAGTTACCTCTACTACATTTGCGTTTCTTTTTCAGCTCCACAAGGTTCCTTTCTTTGTAAATTATGTACAGTAATAACCATGTATCCCTCTACTTGAGTGCTCGTTTAAATCATTCAGCAGACAGAAAACCATACTGAAAGGGTTGGGCAGTTTCCTCTCCTTTCCAGAATATACAAAAACCCAGCTGATCAGGGTTTCAAGTGAGACTTGGTGTAAGAAAAGGAAGCTGAAGGAAACGAAATTTAAACATGATTTACCAATATAAATGGCTGAGCTTCAGAATGTGTGAAGGCCATGATTAAATCAACATTTAGGGTCCACTGGCAAAACCTAAATCTGTACTTTGTTTAAAACTGGGATTGTCCAACCCTGCTTTGTAAGCAGGAACGCAGCTGACATTTTGTGAGGAAAATCAACACACACCAGGCATTCTTTTAAGTTCATAAACCACATTCCAAGTGCTGTGTTTCAAATCTTGTGTCAAGAGTGACGCCACCAAAAACCAGCAATTGGAGTTGTTGATTGGGATGGGGGTTGTAAAGTTTAGAAAGAAAACTAAACAACATAGCACAATTCCCCCCAAAATGCATGCTTAATTATACACAGCAGCCAGGTGGTCACACCTATTAGGAACAGAATCAAAGCTGTATAAATGAATGTTTTTACAACATCTAATAGGTCAGATCAGCCCTCTTTCCATTCTCTGAGTATTTTTTCTCTCTGTGCAGGAGTGACCATTCCCTGGCTAAACATTGGCATGGTCTTTTCTACCTCATGCTGGTCTCGAGACCAAAATCGCCTTCCATACATTGATTACTTACACACTGGTGCTGATTGCATTTGGTATGTATGCTTTTTTTTTTACCTTTTTCTATCTTTTCACAGGTTGATTTATCGCTGTGTGTTTTATGTAACTCCTTCACAGAGGGTCACACTCTATTAATGTTTTTTTCTGTCCCAGCACTTTTTCCAGCTTCTAACAGTTAAAAAAATTGAAAGAAAAAATATAAACCATCTAATTTTATTGCATTGCCTTTGGTGTACCATGAAACATTTCTAGTGCAGAGGAAGAAAGTTCACTTTGGACAGGCAGCTTCTGTATGTAAGAATCCTGTGTGACTTTGAAAAAAGGTTCATTGACAGCAAAGTAAGCTTGTAGCAGATGCTTTTCTGGTATTTTGTATATGTTTGCTTTGTGGTCAGTTTTACCCTTTTGATGTCCTGTTAAGAAATTCTGAAATAACTTTTGTCGCTGGTCAGTTAGTAATGATTCTTATGAAGGTTATTACGAGACCACTGAACTATTGAGTGTTTTATTTAAAATCTATGTACAACGCACACTTAGCCATATTGGAATTTCATTTTCTGGTAATTTCTGTGTCGGGCTTAGATTTCAAAGCCATGAATGTTCCTTGTGGCTTACCGTTGAGGTTTACAGCATAAACATTTCTCACGGCTTTTGGTTATGTCGTGCAACAGACGTTCTAAGTAAAGTTGATACCTTTTAATTTTTCCACTTGGATCAGTTGACATTAACCTGAAAATTTAAAGCTGGCAAGTAAACTTTTATGGATCAAAATAAGATATGGGAATTTTTTAAAAATCTAAACGTGGTTTCTTTAATCTGAACTGAACTCATTTCCATACAAAGTTTGTCTACTTTTTTTTCCTGAAAACTTGAAGGGAACGCCTGAATGTTTGGACATAAAGGAATAAGATTTTTCTGAACCCTGTGCATTGGACTGAAGGAAACTCAAATTTAAACTGAAAAAGCGATTAGGGCATCATTGTAGAATTTTGAGGGGCTCGTTTCCATTCCCCCCAAAAAACACCAGTAGGAGAAAACACTCATTTCAGTGGCCGTTTTTGAGTTTGTGTTTGCCAAAGTGGCAGCCCTTTTTTGCCTTTTTGGAATTAGGAATGATTTGCTTGCCGAAATGCGGGTGTGATGCTGTTGCGCTGTGTGAACACTTTGATTCTGTTTGCATTAGAACTGCTTTTGATTCCGCGTGAATTGTTGGAAATGAGGAGGCTTGAGGACTGTAAGGCCCATTAGTGTATTGAGGGTGAGGAGGAGACAGTTTGCTCTGGATGGGAAAAGGTTAACGGTACATTGACCCAAGCGTGGTCTGGCCCTGGCTTTCCCCACTAGGTCAAATGGTATCCCTTGCCCCACGGTCTGGTGGCAGAGGGGTGGAGTGATCACCCCTCTTTTCACCAAACGTTTTTCCAAAAAGACACCCCCCCCCCCCAACTTCTAGTCCTCTGCTGCTCGGCCCTCCCAGCAAAGCAAAGCTGGGGTTCAGACTGCTGGGCGGTGTGACAGACTGAGGAAGGTAGGTAACACATTTGATACTTGGCGACAACCAGGAAAAAAACGCCTCAGTGGACAATAAAGGGGACAATTAGTGGAATCTCATTTCAGCAGGTGGAAGAAACGTTTGATCAATGCATGTTGTTTTTTTCTTTAATGTTTAAAATTCTGCATAGCACTTGTATTAATTGTGAAAGTTTTACCTTCCTTTAATTTGCAGGTGAGGATAAGTGTCCTAGGAGAGGCACACTAATTGGTTCTGCAGTGGATATGGGGAGGGGGGTTGAATGTGGGAAGAATTTATTCTTTTCAAATGTAATATTATTAAATGTAATATTAGATTTTGACTAATTTTGACTTCAAAGCTAATTTTGACCTGAAATCTGTCAAAAACAGCATTGCTCATGGCAAAGTCTTGACTGAAAGGTGATGAACTAATTTTATAAACCCCTCCTTTGGTACACTGGCATTTATTTACCTAATGAGAGATCAAGCATTCCTGGAAGAAAATATCTTGCGTGCTGACCTTTTCTGACCTTTTCTAGATTTGTTGTTTAGACTTTATTGCTAAATTGTTTTCTATTTGCAGTTTTTCTCCAGATTTGAAAGACTATCCTATATTGATTCTATATTTTTTTCAGAAAGAAAATGAATATTCCGATTTAAGAGCACTTCCTAACTTTACTGCATTCATAGTGTTCTGTGTTTTCTATGTTTTTCTGTCACATGGTGTCCCTTTAAATTTTGCTGGTTTTTCTCTTTCCCACTTAAAATGTTACAATTCTGTCAATTATGAAGAAAAGTAGAACTCCTTTTCACTTCACATCTCAGCTACTAGTCTCTACTGGTCCCAGAGTGTTGTGCATTTTTCATCACAATCGGGATCTAGAGAGTGTTAATTGCCCTTTGAAGGGGGGGCATGTGGTTGTGAGAATATTTAAAACATGGAACACTATGGCTTCTGTATTTTAAAGTATGAGAAGCTTTTCTCTTGCAGTAATGTCGAAGACAAAGACAGGAAACGTTTCTGATGACTTATTCCAACAGCATGCGCTTCACGAGTTATGATACCACGCCACCCTGTTGTGGATTGGTTTGTTTTGAAAACCTTGCAATTGAAAAAAACCCCATTGCGATCGTATGGGTTTCCTGCCTAACCTACAATCTGGCCTCCCTAGAGTCTCCCCTTTACCATGGGGATACTGGCTGGAACTGCTGTACCTGCAAGCATGTCAGCGGGGTAGGGTGCCCTTCAGTTGCACATGGGGTGGGTTGCCCTCATGCTGTACATAAGACATCGCTGCATAAATTGCAGTTGATTTTCTTAAGAAAAAATGACTTTCATGTGCAGCCCAATCCACAACAGGGTGGGTGATACTAAAGGACGCCGGTGCTGAAAAGGAGAGCTTTGTGGAATGATTTCGTTTACACTTGGAACTCAAGGGTTGTTGTCAGCTGCTGGGCTTCGGGATGCCTCTGTCTGTGGTGCTCACGCTGCGCTCTGTCCCCCAGGTACTGCATTCCTGCTGAGGAGAAGGCTAAACTTGACAAAGTGGTGCACACACTGCTTCAGGCCAATGGGACTCCAGGGCTGGAAATGCTTGAAAAGAACATCATGGTGAGGCTAGTCTTGCTTCTGCATTATAGAATTCAGGCAGGCAGGTCATCTGTGTGACTCCGCTTTTCTCAAATTCTGGAAATTAGAAGATGATGCATGTATGCATGCTTTTTTATGTTTTGTCGTTAAATATGTTTTGGGGCTGTTCTTGGATTCCAAAAGATGACTGTGTTTAGAGCACAGCAGGAGACGACGCATCTCTATTTCTCTTTGCTCCCCAGAAAAGGCCTCCAACCTCAGCCTGCACGTTTTTTGTCCCATGAGCCAGTACAGCCACCTTGAGCCCACACCCACCCAGGCTTTCAATGAGACCAGAAAAGAGGCTGGTTACAGTAATAATTATTAGTTTGGTCCTCTGCACCTTCTCGGCATTTTTTCAGGCAGCATGAAGACAGGTTCTTGAAATAAGCTTTGAACAAAATCTAAAATTCATTTCCAGTTCCCATCATAAGTCTTGAAGAAAATTAGTTTTATGGACAAAAGGAAGTTAGTTTTAAGTAAGAAATATTAAGGTGTTCCTTACAAAGACTAGTTATGAGATTTAAATTAACTTACATTTTGAATTTGAACACTCAAGTTTTTGTTTTGCTTTTCCTAATTTTTGGGTTTGCCAGCTATTTGTAGTTGGCTGGGAAGTTCATTAATGTTACATCCTTTTTAAAAGCATTTCATATAGAAACTAAGTTCCTTATAAGCTACAGTCCTGTGTTTAAATATTTGAAAGAAGAGATTTTCTTCCATGTGTATTTTTTTTGTCTTCATTCTTTTGACTGTGTGACCCTAGGTATGAATGATCCCACTTGCATATAAATTCCCACTGTGCTATAATAAGTGTTGAATTTGATCACAATGCGCGTGATATAAGACTACAATCAAATCAGTCACTGTTGTGCAGTCCCAGCTAGATGACCTAGGACAGCCACTCGGTTCCAGCAGTCCCACTGCACAGCAGCTCATGAGGAGCAATGAGGAGCTGTGTGACCTGCTGAAGCTACTTTACTGACAGCTGGTTGTACACGGTTCAACCAGAACACAGTCGTTACTGTAACTCTTCTGCTGTTGTGAACAGTACCTTGAGGATCTTTAATAATCAAGAGCTTGGGGCCCCGTTTAAAGTCTCCAAAGACTGGGACCTGCAACAGCGCAGTGTCACTTGTCACCATACTGGGACATTAGATGGGGAATTTTAGTCCCAAGGGAAGAGTGCTGCCTACCGATCCACCAAGCCTGTATGGTGCATTACCTCGTCAAGCAACAAGAAAGCCAAAAGACAGCAGCACTGATTCAACTTGAATTCTTCTCTGCATTAACAATAACATTACTAGCGAAGCGCAAAGGTTTTTCAAGAAATGATTTGTTACCCAAAAAAAAGCAAATGGCGCACACTGTCTAGGCCAGTGTTCCGTAGTCCTATTCTTGGAGTAAACCTTCAGCTTCTAGATTTTTTCCAGTTAAGTTCTTGACAACTTAGGCAACTTCAACAATAAATTGATCTATTTGCTGTTTAACCTAATTACAACTCTTTAGTACTAAGAGAAAGATGAAGCTGCATTTATCCTGTGCCTGTTTCAATTGCTCTTAAGTTACGTTTGTTGTTCCAAGGCTTAATTTGAACACACTGGGTCTATAATGGGTGTAGGATTCCTCTTTTACATCTTTACTGAAGACGTAATAAAACAGTTTTGCTTGGATTTGGAATAAATTCAGACTGCAGAGTGAACAAGTTACTGCAGGATGTACTGTTGTGTGGCTCTGCCTTTTGATGTGTGCAGTTTTTACCAGCTTAGGAATGCTATTCTTTCAGTTTCTGTATCCAGATCTCATAACTATAGGATTTGATTGGATCTGTTGTTTATAATTCTAAATGTATTCTTTACAGAGAAGACAGACATATGGTGTATGTGACATTTCAGGAATAACTGAAAGGTGGTTGGTCACCTTGGCAAGCTAGCCACATGTGGAAATAGTTTCAGTTGGTTCTAATCCATATGCAAAGATCAGTTCTAAAAAACCTCCATCCATGGTGGCAGCTGCATCATTAAAACCTTTTCTGAAAACTCTTGAATTCAGAGCACTACAGGAGGGTATGAGTCTTCTTGAGTGTTCTCTGGGGGGGGAAAAAGCCCTTTTTCGTAACAAATTCAACCTCGTAAAATACATTGATCACAAAAACAACTCCAAACTTGTCTTGCGCCTTCCGTGAACTGCGCTGCCACTTCTCGGCTCCTCTCCATGTGCGTCGCTTGTGTTGAGCCCATCTCTGTCCTGCTCTCCCCCATGGGCAGATCTCCCCGGAGACGCTGAGTCGCGAGGGGATCAAGGTGCATCGCACTGTCCAGCAGAGCGGCCAGTTCATCGTCTGCTTCCCAGGGACCTTCGTATCCAAAATATGCTGTGGTTACAATGTTTCCGAAACTGTGCACTTTGCTACCACCCAGTGGATGGACCTAGGATATGAGGCTGCTAAGGTGAGTAAAGACGGAGCTACATCAAGGCGGGTAAGGGCTCTCAGCCCCATCTCTGGGTCAGGACCACTGACACGGAAACACAGAAATGTATATCCATCGTTACAATTCCCCAGTTTCAAAATACAGCCAAGGCCGTCTCTTTGAAGTTAATTCTAATAATGCACGAACGTCAAGTTAGAAATAGACAGAAGAACATTTCATTTTCATCAGATTGCCTGGAACATATTGATTCCATCTGTTTGAATCCTGGGACTCCAGGGAATCTTTCATCAGCTTTATTGTTTAGATTGTTTAGATGCCCACAACCCCCCTGTGTAAAGAAATCGCTTCTTTTATGCTCTCAGCTTTATGTCGCTGTCGGTCGTCAAGAAATCCTTTGAGTTGATTTGTCCTTTTCTTTCAAGGATTTCGAGTACCGTCTGTCCACAGTCTGTCATCATGTCTGTCAACAGTCTTCTCTGTTGAACATCTTCCTCTGAAAATAATTAAAAGGGCTGAATTAAAGGGTTCAGAGAAAACTGATCTCGTGAGTTAGAATGACTATAACTTACAGGGTGCTTTTGCTTGCTGTGTCTGCAGCATCATTTGGCCAGAATTACCTGTCACCCAAGATGTATTCACACACCATTTGCTTTGCAATAAGCCTGTGATTAGTACTGTGATGCACTTGAGCAGGTGTACTAAATAAAGATTAAAAGCTGGACTAATTGATTTCTTTTGAGAGGTGGGAGGGAAGAGCTTTGAGAAGAGAGGCAAACAAAGGTCACTTAGGAGAACAGAAGTGAAATTCGCTTGTCGGAGGACGATTTGCTAACCACAGTAGTTCTTGCCGTGTTTATAAGCTATTTTAATTTTCTCCTGCAGGACCTAAAATTTCGACGTATAGCAAAACCTTTTTCCATGGAAAAGCTGCTGTACCAGATTGCAGCAGCGGAGTCCAAGCGGGAGAATGGACAGATATTGAGTACAATCGCTTCACTTCTCAAAGAACTCAGGTATTTTTCATCCTCTGTGGAGTGTTCTGGTTCTGTTGTGATTGTTGTGCAACATAGAGGCTTCATAAAAGTGAATTGCAAGGTTAAATAGCCCCTTTACCAACACCAAGGAAGAATTACATTTTGTTCAAGGTACTGGCAAAAGGTTATATTCTCAGTTCTGCCAACTTTCTTTAAAAAAAGGTGTTGATATGTAAATAAGTTTTCAGGGACCAATTGTTGCTTTAGAAACTAAGCCATTGAGACTCTTGAGTTAAAATGTCAAACATTTTTTGTGCTAACACGTGTCAATCCCAATATTCATTTGTTGTGTTGTGCATCAGAACGTCCAGCAAGTAACTCCGTTCCTGCAAGAATGTCTAGCTCTTTTGAGATTCACATTTTTTCATTGCAATGTCGAGAACGAATCAACCGAGCTGTAAGGAGGGAAGGGAGCAGGGAGCAGGGGGCCGTGGGGAACCAGGGGTGGACCGCTGGTGGTGGTGTTGAAGCCTGCCCGGCATCATAGGCTCACCGTGGTCTCTCGCCTCTTCTCCGGCAGGGATATTGAGCTGAGGCAGCGGCAGAAGCTGTATGAGGCTGGGTTGCATTCCTCGGCTCGCTACGGCACACACGACAACAACCAGACACCAGCGGACGGCAAGAAGAAGCAGCGGAAGTGGCTGGCACTGGAGACATCGGAGCGCCGCTGCCAGATATGCCAGCACCTCTGTTACCTTTCCATGGTGAGAGACGGGGACCAGAACCGGGCCGGTCGATACCGGGGGTGTGGTGGCGTGGTAGGTTTGTTATAGAGCAGAACATTCATCGACCTCTTAAATATTCGATCCAGGCATCCTGAAAAGGGCATCGTTGAAATATTAAAATCCTGACACAGACCTGTCAGCTCAATGTTGAATGCTGACTGTGAGGGGGAGAACGCACAGTTTGGAAAGTGAACTGAAGTTTTTCCTTTCAGGGATTTGTGAAACTTGAGCGTAGTTACTGTGCTGGTCTCCAGCAAGTCCCAGAGAGAAAGCTTTGCCACCTCTGGCTTTGTAGGCATCAAGGATCAATCAATTGCTCGTGATCATGCTGATATTGGCGGCTCATTTGGCCACTAATAAATTATCTAACTATTTTGAGATTGGTTAAGTGATTAAATCCTAAAGGATTTGTGACTAATTTCTACAATTTGCCTTTTTCCCCCCCCCTTATCCTTACATTCTACGGTCAATTTGAATTCCGCATTCACTGTTCGAAACTATCAGGAACCTCCAGTCAAATGAATAAACACTCTCGGGGCCAGACAGTGTGTGGATGACTAGAGGGTGCGAGATGAGTTCCATTACCTGTCCCATAATAATTCCCAGTTCTTGAGTTCCAGTGCTCGTGGTTCAGTTCCACAGGCCAGTACCCTCATCACGACCTGGGCTAAGAGCGGTGCTGCTTAGAGTAATGGAAAGGGATTTGGCTGAAAATATTTTGAAACTCGTGGAACCAGTGCCATGTCTTCTTCATGGCCTTCCTGATGCTTAAGGAGCCCTAGCCCGTCACATCCAGCCATTTGAGAAATGAGCCACTTTTTTTCTCGGACTAGTTAATGCTATCTGAAAGAAAGAAGAACCATGATAAAGACACCTCAGCAATTGTAAAAGTCCTGCATCTGGTGTTCAGGTAGTTCCCCTCACCATGTCTGATCTTGTCTTTGCAGGTTGTCCAAGAGAATGAGAATGTGGTGTTCTGTTTGGAGTGTGCTCTCTGCTACGTAGAGAAACACAAGTCCTGTCGTGGCCTAAAATTGATGTATCGCTACGATGAGGTAACCGTCCCGCGTTCAACTCATGTAAAGTTTAAATTATCAGATTTCATGGTAGCTTTTATTAGACTAAATGTGTGCAATCTAAATATATATAACATAATATTAGTGTGATAATGTTTATTTTCATTTACAGTTAATTCTGTTTGAACTTGTCTAGTTATATGTTGAATTGTTCATTCTTAATGTCTCCTGCTATTCACTTTATTAATCATCCATAGCATTGATACCCTTTTCTTGACTTCAGTTTCTTCCTGCTTTAAAATGATGCTTTCACCATGTATCCAGTGGGTTTTCAGCAAATTCAAATTTGCACCATTACCAGTGTGTGACTGCCATCCCCTTTTCAGTTTGCTGTTGGCCAAGCGATTATGAAAATTCGATCACACTGTTCCTTATCCCTCCATTGGAGTAGGCATGTTAAAAAAAAATGAATTGCTCAATAGAGCGGCTGGCTTGTGGTGCATATCTGATCTCATCCTCTCCGTGCATCACAGGACAGGGCGCTTAAGGCTAAAAACAATAAGCTGTTCCAAGTTGGGTAAATATAACCTAAGCTTATAGGCAGCCACTTACTATTGCTTGGCATTAACTGCATCATCACTGAGGCATTGCCCAGTAGGAGTTACTGCACTAAAAGATTAAATTCAATTTACAAACCAAAATCCTTATAGCAGTTTACCGTACAGCTTTCAACACCTGTGTTTGCTGCTTTTTTAGAGAAGCTCCAATATGTTCAAAATTGTTCTAACTGAAGAATGTTTTTCGATTTTCCTGTGTCGTTTCTTGCTAAATCTGTACATCCGTTTTGTTTTCAATGTAGATACAAAATAAGCTCCCTCTTTGCCAAGCTTCCTGCAGTTCTGTTATTCACACTTGTGACCTCTTGTCGTGACGGGAGACATCACTGTTCCTGCAGTTCTGTTATTCACACTCGTGTCCTCTTGTCGTGACGG